CTGGGTGTTAGTGGACTGGTGTGGGTCGCATCCTGGGTATTAGTGGACTGGTGTGGGTCGCATCCTGGGTGTTAGTGGACTGGTGTGGGTCGCATCCTGGGTGTTAGTGGACTGGTGTGGGTCGCATCCTGGGTATTAGTGGACTGGTGTGGGTCGCATCCTGGGTGTTAGTGGACTGGTGTGGGTCGCATCCTGGGTGTTAGTGGACTGGTGTGGGTCGCATCCTGGGTGTTAGTCTGGGTGTCATCTGGTGTAGTGGACGTGTGGTCGCATCCTGGGTGTTAGTGGACTGGTGTGGGTCGCATCCTGGGTGTTAGTGGACTGGTGTGGGTCGCATCCTGGGTATTAGTGGACTGGTGTGGGTCGCATCCTGGGTGTTAGTGGACTGGTGTGGGTCGCATCCTGGGTGTTAGTGGACTGGTGTTGGTCGCATCCTGGTGTAGTGGATTGTGGTCACCTGGGTGTGTGCTGTGGTCGCATCCTGGGTGTTAGTGGACTGGTGTGGGTCGCATCCTGGGTATTAGTGGACTGTGGTCTTGGTTGTGGGGTGTCGCATCCTGGGTATTAGTGGACTGGTGTGGGTCGCATCCTGGGTGTTAGTGGACTGGTGTGGGTCGCATCCTGGGTGTTAGTGGACTGGTGTGGGTCGCATCCTGGGTGTTAGTGGACTGGTGTGGGTCGCATCCTGGTGTAGTGGACTGTTGGTCGCATCCTGGTATGTGGACGTGGGTCGCATCCTGGGTGTTAGTGGACTGTGCGCACCTGGGGTTGTGGATGGGTCGCATCCTGGGTGTTAGTGGACTGGTGTGGGTCGCATCCTGGGTATTAGTGGACTGGTGTGGGTCGCATCCTGGGTATTAGTGGACTGGTGTGGGTCGCATCCTGGGTGTTAGTGGACTGGTGTGGGTCGCATCCTGGGTATTAGTGGACTGGTGTGGGTCGCATCCTGGGTGTTAGTGGACTGGTGTGGGTCGCATCCTGGGTGTTAGTGGACTGGTGTGGGTCGCATCCTGGGTTTAGTGGACTGGTGTGGGTCGCATCCTGGTGTTAGTGGACTGGTGTGGGTCGCATCCTGGGTGTTAGTGGACTGGTGTGGGTCGCATCCTGGGTATTAGTGGACTGGTGTGGGTCGCATCCTGGGTAGTGGGTGGTGTGGTCGATCCTGGTGTGTGGACTGTGGTCGCATCCTGGGTGTTAGTGGACTGGTGTGGGTCGCATCCTGGGTGTTAGTGGACTGGTGTGGGTCGCATCCTGGGTATTAGTGGACTGGTGTGGGTCGCATCCTGGGTGTTAGTGGACTGGTGTGGGTCGCATCCTGGGTGTTAGTGGACTGGTGTGGGTCGCATCCTGGGTGTTAGTGGACTGGTGTGGGTCGCATCCTGGGTGTTAGTGGACTGGTGTGGGTCGCATCCTGGGTGTTAGTGGACTGGTGTGGGTCGCATCCTGGGTGTTAGTGGACTGGTGTGGGTCGCATCCTGGGTGTTAGTGGACTGGTGTGGGTCGCATCCTGGGTGTTAGTGGACTGGTGTGGGTCGCATCCTGGGTGTTAGTGGACTGGTGTGGGTCGCATCCTGGGTGTTAGTGGACTGGTGTGGGTCGCATCCTGGGTGTTAGTTGGTTGGTCCATCTGGTTTGGACTGTGTGGTCGCATCCTGGGTGTTAGTGGACTGGTGTGGGTCGCATCCTGGGTGTTAGTGGATGTGTGGTGACTGGTGTTGTGACGGTGGTCGCATCCGTGTTTGGGACGGTGTCCGGGTGTTAGTGGACTGGTGTGGGTCGCATCCTGGGTGTTAGTGGACTGGTGTGGGTCGCATCCTGGGTTTAGTGGACTGGTGTGGGTCGCATCCTGGGTGTTAGTGGACTGGTGTGGGTCGCATCCTGGGTGTTAGTGGACTGGTGTGGGTCGCATCCTGGGTGTTAGTGGACTGGTGTGGGTCGCATCCTGGGTGTTAGTGGACTGGTGTGGGTCGCATCCTGGGTGTTAGTGGACTGGTGTGGGTCGCATCCTGGGTGTTAGTGGACTGGTGTGGGTCGCATCCTGGGTGTTAGTGGACTGGTGTGGGTCGCATCCTGGGTGTTAGTGGACTGGTGTGGGTCGCATCCTGGGTGTTAGTGGACTGGTGTGGGTCGCATCCTGGGTGTTAGTGGACTGGTGTGGGTCGCATCCTGGGTGTTAGTGGACTGGTGTGGGTCGCATCCTGGGTGTTAGTGGACTGGTGTGGGTCGCATCCTGGGTGTTAGTGGACTGGTGTGGGTCGCATCCTGGGTGTTAGTGGACTGGTGTGGGTCGCATCCTGGGTGTTAGTGGACTGGTGTGGGTCGCATCCTGGGTGTTAGTGGACTGGTGTGGGTCGCATCCTGGGTGTTAGTGGACTGGTTGGGTCGCATCCTGGGTGTTAGTGGACTGGTGTGGGTCGCATCCTGGGTGTTAGTGGACTGGTGTGGGTCGCATCCTGGGTGTTTAGTGGACTGGTGTGGGTCGCATCCTGGGTGTTAGTGGACTGGTGTGGGTCGCATCCTGGGTGTTGGACGGTGTGGCGACTGGGTTAGTGGAGGTGGTCGCATCCTGGGTGTTAGTGGACTGGTGTGGGTCGCATCCTGGGTTAGTGGACTGGTGTGGGTCGCATCCTGGGTGTTAGTGGACTGGTGTGGGTCGCATCCTGGGTGTTAGTGGACTGGTGTGGGTCGCATCCTGGGTGTTAGTGGACTGGTGTGGGTCGCATCCTGGGTGTTAGTGGACTGGTTGGGTCGCATCCTGGGTGTTAGTGGACTGGTGTGGGTCGCATCCTGGGTGTTAGTGGACTGGTGTGGGTCGCATCCTGGGTGTTAGTGGACTGGTGTGGGTCGCATCCTGGGTGTTGTGACTGGTGTGGGTCGCATCTGGTGTTAGTGGATGGGTGGTCGCATCCTGGGTGTTAGTGGACTGGTGTGGTCGCATCCTGGGTGTTAGTGGACTGGTGTGGGTCGCATCCTGGGTGTTAGTGGACTGGTGTGGGTCGCATCCTGGGTGTTAGTGGACTGGTGTGGGTCGCATCCTGGGTGTTAGTGGACTGTGTGGGTCGCATCCTGGGTGTTAGTGGACTGGTGTGGGTCGCATCCTGGGTGTTAGTGGACTGGTTGGGTCGCATCCTGGGTGTTAGTGGACTGGTGTGGGTCGCATCCTGGGTGTTAGTGGACTGGTGTGGGTCGCATCCTGGGTGTTAGTGGACTGGTGTGGGTCGCATCCTGGGTGTTGTGGTCGACTGGGATGTGGTCGCATCCTGGGTGTTAGTGGACTGGTGTGGGTCGCATCCTGGGTGTTAGTGGACTGGTGTGGGTCGCATCCTGGGTGTTTAGTGGACTGGTGTGGGTCGCATCCTGGGTGTTAGTGGACTGGTGTGGGTCGCATCCTGGGTGTTAGTGGACTGGTGTGGGTCGCATCCTGGGTGTTAGTGGACTGGTGTGGGTCGCATCCTGGGTGTTAGTGGACTGGTGTGGGTCGCATCCTGGGTGTTAGTGGACTGGTGTGGGTCGCATCCTGGGTGTTAGTGGACTGGTGTGGGTCGCATCCTGGGTGTTAGTGGACTGGTGTGGGTCGCATCCTGGGTGTTAGTGGACTGGTGTGGGTCGCATCCTGGGTGTTAGTGGACTGGTGTGGGTCGCATCCTGGGTGTTAGTGGACTGGTGTGAGTCGCATCCTGGGTGTTAGGGGACTGTGTGGGTCGCATCCTGGGTGTTAGTGGACTGGTGTGGGTCGCATCCTGGGTGTTAGGGGACTGTGTGGGTCGCATCCTGGGTATTAGTGTACTGGTGTGAGTCGCATCCTGGGTGTTAGTGGACTGTGTGGGTCGCATCCTGGGTGTTAGTGGACTGGTGTGGGTCGCATCCTGGGTGTAAGTGGACTGGTGTGGGTCGCATCCTGTGTGTGTTAGTGGACTGGTGTTGAGGTGCGCATCCTGGGTGTTAGTGGACTGGTGTGGGTCGCATCCTGGGTGTTAAGTGGACTGGTGTGCGCAGTGCATTCCTGGTGTTAGTGGACTGTAGTGGGTCATCTGGTGTTAGTGGATGGTGTGGTCCATCCTGGGTGTTAGAGCTGGATGTGGTCACATCCTGGGTGTTAGTGGACTGGTTGGGTTCCATCCTGGTGTTAGTGGACTGGTGTGGCACATACCTGTGTTAGTGGACATGGTGTGGGTCGCATCATGGGTGTATAGTGGACTGGTGTGGTAAGATCCTGGTGTTTATATTGGTGTGGGTCGTCATTCTGGGTTGATTATGATGGTGTGGTACGTAATCCTAGGGTTTAGTGACTGGTGTGGGTGCTCTGGTGTTAAGTGACTGGTGTGGATTCATCATCCTGGCGCTAATCAGTGAACTGGCTGTGGGTTGCATCCGGGTTTAGTGGACTGGTGTGAGTCCATCCTGAGTGTATGGACTGTTGGGTCGCATCTGGTTGTGTATTGGAACTGTGTGTGGGTCGATCCTGGGTTAAGATACTGGTGTGGGTCGCATCCTGTGTGTTAGTGACTGAGTTCGACATTCCTCAAAACTTGTCCTATTCTGGACATATTCTAATCATAATATACATGTTGCTTTAAGTAATGTAGTAGATATTAGGGGTTCTGTTTAAGAGGGAATTGGATCTTTTGCTTCAAGTTTCCCGAATTAAGCCAGGAATGCTTCCACATCCCCCCCCCGTAAGACTGTATACTCCTCCGGTTTAGCGCTTCCCCTTGATTATAATAATATAATATAATATGTAGTAATATGTTGTGATGTCAGCTATGGTTTGTATACTTGTACATGTACTTGTGAATAAAGACATTATTATTATTATTATTATTATTATTATTATTATTATTATTATTATTATTATTATATTATTAATTATTATTATTATTATGTTAAGTGGTTGTGTTGTAATAAGTTGAAATGGTTGTGTATTATTATTATAATCAAGGGAGAAGCGCTAAACCCAGAGGATTATACAGCGCCTGGGGGGGGATGTGGAAGGCATTCAGGCTTAATTCGGGGAACTGGAGCACAGATCCAATTCCCTAAATCAAGAGCCCCTCACCAACATCAAGGAACCTTCCTTGAGGGGAAGTGGTTGTGTATCCTGGGAATAAAATACATGATGGTTGCCGGGAAGTGGTTGTGTATCCTGGGAATAAAATACATGATGGTTGCCGGGGTGACCAGTGACAACAGTGATGACCTCCAGTCTACCTCGCAGGTACCTCACTTCTCCTCACTTCTACTCACTTCTACCATCGTTATAAGTCAATAATGTAGCTTTTGTCTACATGTTGGTGGTTGAAGTAAGGTTGTAAGTGAGTATTATGGTGTTCTTGGTTGTTAAGTGAGACTTGAAGAATCCTGTCAGGATATTTTTCTCATAACTTCTGTTCGACTTTCAAGGGATCTTGATGCCGCTGTGGAGCTCTTGATCCAAGGAGGTAGATTTATCTAATCCTTTATTGAACTTTAATGCCTCCCAAACATTGTATGACCCCCTACGGTTTAGCGCTTCCCCGTAATTATAATGAAATATTCCTTCCAAGGGATGTGTTGATGTTGGTGAGGGGCTCTTGATCTTGGGAATTGGATCTGTGCTTCAGTTCCCTGAATTAAACCTGAATACCTTCCACATCCCTCCACAGGCATTGTATAATCCTACGGGTTTAGTGCTTTCCCCCTGATTATATTATAATCAAAAAGAAGCGCTAAACCACAAGGGCTATACAGCGCCTTGATTATAATAATTATATGCATCAGACCTGACTATCTCCCGGTCCTCTAGCACAATTGGTAGCGCACTCGGCTCACGCCGAGGTCCACGGTTCAATCCCCAGTTTGGGTGGAAATATTAGGATGTGTTTCTGTAAGACACCTGCTGTCCCTGTTCACCTAGCAGTAAAATAAGTACCTGGGTGTTAGTTGACTGGTGTGGGTCGCATCCTGGATTTAAGTGGCCTAATTTGCCTGAAATGCCTTGCACAACAAAGATCTTTCTATATAGTAGTATGTTATTGATGTCAGCTATTACCTGGAGTTTACCTGGAGAGAGTTCCGGGGGTCAACGCCCCCGCGGCCCGGTCTGTGACCAGGCCTCCTTAGGTCAGTGTCCCAGGATGCGACCCACACCAGTCAACTAACACCCAGGTACCCATTTTACTGATGGGGAACATAGACAACAGGTGGAAAGAAACACGTCCAATGTTTCTACTCTGGCTGGGAATCGAACCCAGGCCCTCACCGTGTGAAGCGAGAGCGTTAACCACCAGGCCACCAGAGCTATGACTGTATACCTTGTACATGTACTTGTAGAAATAGAAATATTATATTATTAATGTGTTGTCCTGACCAGCCGGGCTGTGGCTCGTACGTTAGTTTATGTGCAGCCAGCAGCAACAGCCTGGTTGATCAGGCTCTGATCCACCAGGAGGCCTGGTCACAGACCGGGCTGCGGGGGCGTTGACCCCCGGAACTCTCTCCAGGTAAACTCCAGGTATTAACCATTGATTGCTCAACTCCAGTGTCAATGATATTACTTTATTTATATCCTTTGCATCTCTACCTCACACTAATAGAGCAATACACAAATAATCAATACAGTCTTCCTGAAATCCCCCAGCATGATAGTGACTTTCTTTGTACTTAACAAATCAAAATTGTAATCACACATTGTAAACTTTGCAAAGAAATAAAAATCTATCTGTAGGAAAAAGAAACTATAATGACGTTTTGGTCCGACTTGGGCCATTAAATAGTCACACTGACATGCAGAGGTAATGGAGGCAGTATATATACTCTACTTTTAGTTCCAGAGTTAAGGGGAATGTCCTACGAAGAAAAGTTCAGGGGAATCAGCCTGACAACACTGGAGGACAAGAGGGTTAGAGGAGACATGATAACGACATACAAAATACTGCGTGTAATAGACAAGGTGGACAGAGGATGTTCCAGAGAGGGGACACAGAAACATGGGGTCACATTTGAAAGTTGAAGACTCATATGAGTTAAAGGGATGTTAGGAAGTATTTCTTCAGTCATAGAGTAGTCAGGAAGTGGAATAGTCTAGCAAGTGATGTAGTGGAGGCAGGAACCATACATAGCTTTAAGATGAGGTATGATAAAGCTCATGGAGCAGGGAGAGCGAGGACCTAGTAGCGTTCAGTGAAGAGACGGGGCCAGGAGCTGAGTCTCGACCCCTGGAACCACAGTTAGGTGAGTACAAGAGGAGGGCAGGGATGGGACTGCACTCCTTTCTTATATATACTGCTTCCCATATCTTTGTGTGTTAGTGTTAATAGTTAATGTTATAAGTCAGACTGAAACATCATAAAGTTTCTTTGTGTGTTCCAGTTATGGTATTGTACCTCTGTGTTCCTAATAGAGCAACACTAATAATCCATGTTTATTTACACTGAAATTTCATATTACTGTGCTATTAACTTTAAGAATTCTTCTTATATTCCTAATCTCTTCAAGGGTACTTTGTTGCTGGTAAAGCACTCTTGATCTAATCAAGCCTCATTACCTCCCATTTCCCATGTGCTATATGACCCTTATAAGTTTAGTGTTTTTCAATGAATATTAATAATACATTTGTGATATTTTGAAGACATTTTTTTTAATAGATACACAGATAACCCGCACGTAGAAGAGAGAAGCTTACGATGACGTTTCGGTCCGACTTGGACCATTTACAAAGACACACTTTGTAAATGGTCCAAGTCAGACCGAAACATCGTCATGAGCTTCTCTCTTCTATGTGCGGGTTATTTGTGCATTGTTCCAGTTACGGTATTGTGCTTTTTTTTTTTTTTTTTTGAAGATAAATTAGTACACTAAGTGCATAAAGAATTTAATTTTTTTTCAGTATGAGTATTGTGAGTGGATGGATGACAGCAAAATATGTTCCCAGACAACACATTAGACAACTGTCACAGCTAAGGTTCATGTGCTGTCATTCTGCACGAAGACCATCATTTGTCTCTCAGAACTCAAAGCCCTATTTTCTTCAGCCGTATGCACCATTCAATAATTTCATTACATTGTGCAGTTACTCGGTAGAGTAAGTATAGCCATGAATGATTTTAATATTAATTATGGTGAAGCTCGGTAAAATTTTTATACTCTCCATATTTTCATGAAGTTTCTTCTCAGGTTGAATTGAACACATTGGATGTTAGAGATAAATGTTTCATGTATTGTGTATATATCTTCTGTTGCACCTCTTAAAGAACAGTTCTATCATTTGTGTTAATAAAAAATACACTTTGTTAGCAATAAAAAGTAAATTTTTATAGTACATATACACATTTTGAACATCTGAGGACACATCTGTTTACTTTTGGATAATTGTCGAAATAGTAGCTAAATGCTACGTTTGGCAACCACAAGATAACTTGTGAATTATTACACATTCTAAATTCAGTAAAATAGGCAGACAATGTGCTTGGCAAATTTAAATGTTACTAAAATATTGCAAGGGTTCGTAATGCTTCCTCAGTCTTTTAGTAATAGTGCTGTACCATTATGTGAAACTTAAGCACAAGGGATTATCCGAGGTATGTTAGCTCATGTAACAGGTTGGATTCGAACTCATGGCAAGCCAATCTTAAAGCTAGCAGGCCATTGTGTTAATCACTGACCACTAACCACCATTTTGTGAGTTATTGAGGTATAGGTACTGCAGTAGTAGAGTTAATACAAGAAGCAGCACTATTACAATATATAATAATAATAATAATAATAATAATAATAATAATAATAATAATAATTTTATTTCAGCATGATACATGTATGTACAAAGGAGTATGACAGTTGGGTGTACATGCCCAAAGCCCTTTTATATGCAGAGCATTTCGGGCAAACTTAAGACTAACTGAAGATTAGTAAGGCAATAACAGTGCTGTAATTTTGTACATGTAGTCATTAGGCGAGTTACAATGAAAACAAGATAATTGAATATTCTATTAGTTCATGCTATATGGCTTTAATAAGTTTGATAGAGAAGAATTAGTTTTGATTATTAACCTAAGGTAGACAAAATGGAATAATTAACATTTGAGAGGATTACAAATATTGAGAGTAAGTATACATATATTGATTATAATGTAATGTAATGATCAGGATAATGTGTACTACAATACACATACAGTATATGTAGTATTTTGGTTTACTGAATATTGTGCCAGCACTGACAAACGCTGGCTAGTTGTTCAGTATATTAAACCCTTTATCTGTATTTAGTTTCTCTCTATTTTAAGTTGCAGAGTTAGACACACTTTCAAGACTTCGGCATCTTTATTTAAATAAAGGTACCCAAGTGTTGCATGTATCTAATTCCTCATCTTGTTGGTATTGTGTACCATTGCATATATTCTAAGTTGTACTTGAGGCAAATCAAAATAATATTTATTTGAAGAAAGTCTTGATATCATGACTGGTACAGTTCACAACTAACCCACACTTTGTAGAGGAAATCTCAAGAAATTTTTTACAGTAGTATCATCAACAAAACATATTGGCTTTAGAAGATGGCTGACATTAGGAAGACCATTGATATACATATACATGTAGTACATATAAGGAATGGGAGAGGACCAGGTACGTATATAATATTGAGTACAACATTGTTTATTGGGCATGTAGGGAAGGAAGTTTCATTTGTGGTCTTGAGTCCTAGTGGTGGGAAGTACAGTGCCTGTACTCTAAAGGAAGGATTTTAGGATATTTGCTATTTGGAGGGACATCTGAACTATCAAATGTATGTGCCTCTGGCATGACCATGATAGTATAAATGACAGTGAAAGTGTTTCTTTTTTGAGTCACCTTTCCTTGGTGGGAGATGGCCAACATGTTACAAAACAATGGTGTCTGTTTCAACCCTAAGAAAAAATAAAAGAAGTTATAGTATTATCACAACCATTGGCTCCATAGGAAGGTATGAAATTTAAAGAGGGTTTTTTAGAATTGTCACTGTTTAAAACCTTATTCTTAATTTTTATTATTTAACCCTTAAATTATCCAAACATAGATCTACATTCTCATGCGTAGCGCTCCGAATGTACATCTTCGTTCAATTTTAAATTGTTTATGTAAAAAAACGTAATCTACATTTGGAGTGCTACGTGTGCAAACGTAGATCTACGTTTGGACAGTTTAAGGGTTAAGGATGACATTAATGTGGAATTGATAAATAGTCCTCCTTTAGCATTGTGCTGCATTTATAGATTAAAATTTATTTTTCAGATTAAGTGAATTAGCATATGAACAGTTGAGTGATGACACGTTGGAGTCACTCAGTGATTATTTGGAGGAGTTAATATCAAGAGAAGAAGCTCCTGCAGACTGTGATGTGTTATATTCAGTAAGTGCAAGAAGTGATGTCTGACATGTTTCATAAACACTGCAGCATATGGTTAACATTTCTTCAGTTACCATTATTATATTATAGGAATAATGCAGCAACTGGGGACTGGAACTGATTCAAACTAATCTGTGAAAAGAAAGTTTCTTAAAGTTGATCCCCAGTGTGCATGTGTACATAATTATACTATTTGCATATTGTGATATCACTTGTTTTCTGTGATTTTTTTTAATTATTTATTGGGTTTAGCACTTCTTTTTTATTATAATAATTTGCATGATTATATATGTGTACTGTATATATTCCCATACTGTTTTTTAACAAGTCGGCCGTCTCCCACCGAGGCAAGGTGACCCAAAAAGAAAGAAAATCCCCAAAAAGAAAATGCTTTCATCATTCAACACTTTCACCTCACTCACACATAATCACTGTTTGCAGAGGTGCTCAGAATACAACAGCTCAGAAGCATTCCGATATGTATATGTTTATTTCCTCTTATCTCCATGGCGAAGTGAAACAGAATTCTTCCTCCATAAGCCATGCGTGTCGTAAAAGGCAACTAAAATGCTGGAAGCAAAGGGGCTTGTAACCCCTTCTCCTGTATATATTACTAAATTTAAAAGGAGAAACTTTCGTTTTTTCTTCTGGGCCACCCTGCCTCAGTGGGATACGGCCATTTTGTTGAAAGAAAAGAAAGAAGCATATGTTACACTGATAAAACATATGTGCACCTGGATGCATGTCCATGCTTATTTGATTTTTTTTTTTTTTTTTCAACAAGTCAGCCATCTCCCACTGAGGCAGGGTGACCCAAAAAGAAAAAAATCCCCAAAAAGAAAATACTTTCATCATCATTCAACATGACTGGAGTTTTGAGACTCTATGACCGCGGGTTCAATCCTGGCCGGGGGTATGGTTTATGGATCATTCAACACTTTCACCTCACTCACACATAATCACTGTTTGCAGAGGTGCTCAGAATACAACAGCTCAGAAGCATTCCCATATGTATATGTTTATTTCCTCTTATCTCCATGGCGAAGTGAAACAGAATTCTTCCTCCACAAGTCATGCGTGTTGTAAAAGGCGACTAAAATGCTGGAAGCAAGGGGGGCTTGTAACCCGTTCCCCTTGTATATATTACTAAATTTAAAAGGAGAAACTTTCGTTTTTTCTTCTGGGCCACCCTGCCTCAGTGGAATACGGCCATTTTGTTGAAAAAAAAGAAAGAAGCATATGTTACACTGATAAAACATATGTGCACCTGGATGCATGTCCATGCTTATTTGTAATAATGTTTGATTTTTTTTTTTTTCAACAAGTCAGCCGTCTCCCACCGAGGCAGGGTGACCCAAAAAGAAAAAAATCCCCAAAAAGAAAATACTTTCATCATCATTCAACACTTTCACCTCACTCACACATAATCACTGTTTTTGCAGAGGTGCCCAGAATCGAACAGCTCGGAAGCATATACGTATAAAGATACACAACAAACTGCCAATATCCCGTTTTAATATGAGCATCACAGAGCTTTGTGTGTAGCTTCTTAGTAATGAAACTTAATTTTAATTATTTTTGAAATGAAATAATCTTCTTTCAACAAACCAACTGTATCCCACCCAGGCAGGGTGGCCCAGAAAGAAAAACAAAAGTTTTTCTTCATAAATTTAGTAATGTACACAGAAGAAGGGGTTACTAGCCCCTTGCTCCCTGCATTTTAGCTGCCTCTTATGACACACATGGTTTACAGAGGAAGAATTCTGTTCCACTTTCCCCATGGAGATGAAATAATGTGTTTTTTTTTTTTTTTTTTTCAACAAGTCGGCCGTCTCCCACCGAGGCAGGGTGACCCAAAAAAGAAAGAAAATCCCCAAAAAGAAAATACTTTCATCATCATTCAACACTTTCACCACACTCGCACATTATCACTGTTTTTGCAGAGGTGCTCAGGATACAACAGTCTAGAAGCATACACATATAAAGATACACAACATATCCCTCCAACTGTTTAATTACTCCTGAAAAGTTGGTCAGCATATACAGTATAATATAGGATGATTCATGATTAGTTAAATTAACTTTTGTATAAAAAATTACAGCCATATGATGAATCTTTAAAATATGTATTCTGATTTTCAATAGGCAGGTGTACTGACGCTGCACCTTGGGAACTTTGGAACATATGTCATCAACAAGCAGACACCAAATAAGCAAATCTGGCTCTCGTCACCAGTCAGCGGCCCCAAGAGATATGATTTTGTGGATGGAGTGTGGATCTACAAGCATAGTGGAGTGACACTGCACCATCTGTTGAGCCAAGAATTGTCAGAAATTCTAAAGACAACCATTGATTTTTCTGGTTGTGTTTATGGAGGCAGCGAGTCCATTTAGTTTAAATAGTTAAAATCTCTATTTATTGGGAATCATTTGTTTATTTACTGTGCAAAAGGAACCTCTAATTGATATAAATGCTTAAAGACTGAGTGAATCTTTTATATATCAAGACCAAGAATGCCTTTTATAATTTATGGTGAAAATATAATGTACTGTATCCTCAAAATATTTTACAGTGATATGTGCATAGTGTAGATCAGCAACTAAAACTAGAAGCCACCTATCAAAAATGTCTGGGGGTGATGTATCAAAGTTAATGAGTGCCATTAAGGATGGGCTGCATGCCGAGTGGGCCGAATTCAAAAAAACTAAGCAAGTTTCAGTAAAACCTGTATGTGCTTATGCCACTGGAGGTCAGTGGGACACGCCTATATCAGCTCTAGCCAGCATTAGTGGAGGCGTATGCGAGTGGGAGGAGTGCTTAAAACACACAGTCGACCCAACAGTGGATAAAACACGTGGCGTGCTTCCCTCCGAGATCATGGTAGGGGCAGAGGGACAGGTCATGCTGTACCCTGTGCGACGTCACGTCTCCATCGATGCAGGTGCATCCACCCCAGCCAGTACACTCTCATCAGCATCAAAGGCAATGGAGCCCAAAGTTCCTATTGTTGCTGTTGGAAAGAATAAACATTTACCACCCAAAGCAATGTTGTTATCTATCATAGAACAGACAGCAAACTACATGTTGGATCATGTAAAACGAGTGAGTGAAAATGCATTTATAGCTGGTAACAACAAGATTTTGTTTATGTGTCTGGCTTCAGCGGCTCTTGTTAGAAGTAGACTCAGTGCTTACAAGGACATTCTTAAACAACCTACCTCAAAGTGAGTTCATTTATTATGTAGAATTTGATTAGAAAATATAAATTGTTTAGCCTTTTAGTTTTCCTCAGTCATTCACTCACCTTGATAACTGTATATATAAGTTTCTTAATCTTTATATTGATATTTTGGCTAAGTAGAGAAAGTAAGAGTGAGTACTGTGGCTACGTCTATATCAGTTTTTTTTCAGCAAACCAGCCGTATCCCATCAAGGTAGGGCAACCTAAAAAGAAAAACTAAATTTATACTGAAGAAGGGGTTACCAGTTCCTTGCTCTCAGAAGGGGTTACCAGTTCCTTGCTCTCAGCATTTTAGTCACCTCTTATGACACGCATGGCTTTTGGAGGAAGAATTCTTTTCCATTTTCCCATGGACATAGAGAAGAATAAGAACTATTAAGAAAACAGAAGAAAACCCAAATGAATATGTATATATATACATGTACGTGCAGAATTCTTCCTCTGTAAGCCATGTGTGTCATAAGAGGCAACTAAAATGCCGGGAGCAAGGGGCTAGTAACCCCTTCTCCTGTATACAATACTAAATTTAAAAAGAAACTTTTGTTTTTCTCTTTAGGTCACCCTGCCATGGTGGAATATGGCCAGTTCATTGAAAAAAAAAAATAAAGAAAATAGTCTAAGACATTTAGCAATGCTTTTCTACCATTTATGAGTAAGTTTACTTCGGTACAGGTACACGTAAGTACAGTTATACAAATTTCGGTGATTACAACTATCATTGTACCTGTACTGGTACAATTATTATCATTATATTGGTACGGCTGGAAAACCTTAGAATGTGTTTCCTTAAGACACCTGTTGTCAGTGTTTACCCATCAGTATAAAATGGGTACCTGGATGTTAGTCGACTGGTGTGAGTCGCATCCTGGGACAAAACTGACCTAATTTGCCCAAAATGCTCTGATGTCAGCTAGGCCTGTATACCTTGTACATGTACTTGTAGAAATAAAAATATTATTATTCATAGAAATGTGTAAATTATCTAGGATAGCCCAAAAAAGTCAGAGTGACTTATTTCCGGTGGGGTCCCTGTAAATGTATATGTAAGCCCCTCAAGGAAGGTTCCTTGATTGTGGAGAGGGGATCTTGATCCAAAGAATTGGACCTGTCCTTCCCTTTCTTGGATTGAACTCGATTGATTCCCATTTCCCAGACACTGTATGACCCCTATGGGTTTATTGCTGCCTCTAAATAGAGTATTAATAATATACTGTATATAAGGGGATATTTGGCAACCATGTCTACAGGAGGAAGCTTGATAAAATATCTGAAGTATGCTCCTCAACAACCAAGCTGTGGGGCTTATTTTAAGCTGCTTTCATTAAGCACCAAAAGCTTAACTGATCAGGCTGTCACCAAGGATGCCTGGGATGGGAATGGGTTGCAGGAGCTTTTATCCCAGGAGCTATCTTCAGGTAAACTGAGATTTTAGTAGTAGATTACTAGGCCTCAACCACTCTTGAAGCCATTACTGTGGGGCAAGCTAATGGATTTTTCTTTCTTATGCCATGGTCTATGTTCAGTTGCCTTTTCAATTTACTTTAATGAATCGGTATACAGTACCTTTCCATTCTTGTCTTTATCCTCCCTGCTAATTTGTGCTTTTTTTCTGCATGTTAACAATTGATAAAGAGATTAATGGGTCTTTTCCACACCCATAGTATTTGACCAAAGTGTACATTTTAGACTTTTACTATTAATTCTTATTGTCAAGTGTAAATATTCATGTGGTAGGAATATGAGAGCTGCGCTGGGTCGGTGTGGGGAGGTTGTGGAGTTTATGATGCAGAACATCCTAAGCTACAACTGTGACCTCCTCCATTCATCATTGCTGCATGATGCTTCAAGCCATGACTGGACAGACCCTAAGCCATACCAAGAAAATGGCAGATCATCACTGACTATCCAGATGTGGACATTCTATATGCAAGGTATAATTGCAGCCAGTGTACTGTATAGTTTCTCACGAGGGATAAATAGTTAAGTACTTTGTTGCAGATGCAATATTACTATGTACTAATGTACTTTACTTGTATATAAGGAACACAGAAAATAATGAAAGTTATTTGATCTATTTCAGTTGTTAATACAGTAAATCAAACGATAAGTTAGGTGATGGCTAATTCATCTGCTAAACTTCCACTGCAGTTCAAATATAGTCGTGGGAATAAGGTCACTGTATACTATACTGTTTAGCATCATTATTACCAAAGTCTAAGACAAATCCTATAGCATACAACACAGTACCATTTACCTACAAAAATCATTACACGAGTAGATTATATAAATAATAAATGATTACAGATAATATAATTTAATTTTAGAGGCCACGTAATGTCATTCTGCAAGGATTGTCAGATCATCCTCACAGCCCATCATCTTGTGGGAGCTGCCAGTTATCTGTTGCAAGGGTAAGAAAGAATGTCTTGATAAGGATTTTTTTTTTTACACATTTCATCACTGAAGTATGCAAATACCAGCTAGATGTTCTTAAACTTGATCCCAAGGACATAAAGGCTCGTCTGTTGCTTGATAATGCACCTGCTCACCCACGTGCTGATAAACTAATCAGTAATGATGGTAAAATTAAGGCCATGTTTCTGCCCCCTAATACCACCTCCCTTAGCCAGCCTATGAATCAGGGGTTATTGTAGCCTACAAAAGATGGTTTCCAAAAAGATACTGTATTTAGATAAGGCATTGGTAGTGATTTAGGAGGAAGAGTTGTAAAAAAGTCTGAGAGGTCTGTGTGCATTACAGAACATCAAAAACTATAACCTGAAGTCTCATCTTCAACCTTGCAGCATTTTGGAAGAAAATGACATCACACCATTAGTCAATGGTTGGAAAATTTTGTTACATGATGATTTTTGACATTGTGGAGTTTGAGGCCAGTGATTGTCATTGAACACTTCAGAAGACAGGAGAAGCAGACAGGCCAGAGGAAGATGTTATGACATGGAAAAAATTATGCAGTCATGGATACCATGTCTTGACTGATGAAGAAACTGCAGAGGCCATTTTTGTTGCTAACAAAGAAAAAACAGCGATGATGCAGCATCTCTAGATATGTTCTTCAAACCTGTTGCCACTTCTGTTTGTCTACAACCAGAGGATGGGGAGACAGACTGTACTATTAACTTGTACTAGATCTGAATTACTTTGTATTTTATGTAGCAGCTACTGCATTATGTAGTAAGAGGTAACTCCTGAATTAAATAATACAGCCTCTCCTCACTTAGCTACGTACTTGTTTACTGACGACTTGGACTTATGATGCATACCTAAATAATGTATATTAGAGCTGATTTCCTCTATTCTGTTTATTGCAATATACAGAGTACTTCTGTATAAACATTTAAAAATATACTAAAAATGTTATAAATGGTGCAGAGGTGACATTAGAACTATATCAAAGATGGTTGACACAAACCCACTACCATTATTGTATGCTCCTTGCTTAGCGACGAATTTGTTTACCGACATGGTCTTAGGAACAGAACTCTGTCATTAAGTGAGGAGAGGCTGTATAAGATATTTGTATGATAGCTATTATGATTGTAACAGGTGTACGTAATGACCTCTGGCGCTATACTTCGCCACGCATCGGTGAGAGTATTCTGGCCAGCATCTTCACAGACACCCTTAGTCTTCTGGTAACAAGATATGCTCAGGTAAATTTCAATAGACTCATTCTAATATTGCCATAAAAATAATTCTTTTTTGCCTGTATATACAGGTTACATCCATGATGTTTTTAAATATTAAAGGCAATAGTTTACTTCCATCATTGCCACTATTTTTCCTTTACCCTTACTGGTTAATGGATTTAGATGTTCAGTGCTGTAATAGTTTCTTCTCCAAATTATGAGTTAATATTGAATGCTCCAACCACAGCACTGCAACTTCTATTCGTCATTTTAAGTCTTATTTTTACTAATTAATAGTTTTTCTGTGTCTTACCTTAATATACAGTAGTTGCTTTGCATTATATGTATTAACTTGCTGTAACTTTGTATTTTCATCCAACAGATTGAGCCCAGTGATGTACGAATGTCACAGTATTCAGCAGACATAGTTGCAATTCTTACAGTCATTGCAGCTTTTCTACCCTCCCTTATAGCCTCTCCAACAATGTTTTTCTCTGTGCGAATCCATGAATCAGTTGCTCTGCCTATTCATCGTCGGGCAGACTTGTTACTCAAAGTTGCTGCTCTTAAATGTGCACCTATTGAAAATTTAGCACGGGTAAGTGTTTTTACATATAAATGTGATTTTTCTGGATTAAACAATTATTTTTTATCAAGGGGAACATCAATTTAGACTGTGCTTCAAGAAATACATTTCTGAAGAGTGCAACTTAATAAGAAAGGCATATAGTGATCTATAATTTCTCATATACTGTATACTAGCTAATGCTATCATTAGACATTACATAAGGCCAGGGATTTATAGAAATGTTTTATACAAAATTTTGAAGTTGAAATACACAGTAAATGGTCATGGTCTTGTCTGTACAAACCTAATGAGACAGCAGTGAAAACAAATTACTTAAAAATTTAAGGTAGATTACAACTCTAAATAAGAATAATTTTTTTTTTTCAACAAGTAGGCCGTCTCCCACCGAGGCAGGGTGACCCAAAAAAGAAAGAAAATCCCCCAAAAGAAAATACTTTCATCATCATTCAACACTTTCACCACACTCACACGTAATCACTGTTTTTGCAGAGGTGCTCAGAACACAGCAGTTTAGAAGCATGTACGTATAAAGATACACAACATATCCCTCCAAACTGCTAATATCCCGAAACCCCTCCTTTAAAGTGCAGGCATTGTACTCCCATCTCCAGGACTCAAGTCCGGCTATATAAAAATAACCGGTTTCCCTGAATCCCTTCACTAAATATTACTCTGCTCACACTCCAACAGTAGGTTGGTAGACAGCAACCACCCAGGGAGGTACTACTGTCCTGCCAAGTGAGTGTAAAACGAAAGCCTGTAATTGTTTTACATGATGGTAGGATTGCTGGTGTCTCTTGTCTGTCTCATAAATATGCAAGATTACAGGTATGTCTTGCTGCTTCTACTTACACTTAGGTCACACTACACATACATGTACACGTTTATTTATACACACTCATCTGAGTTTTCTTTGATTTTATCTTAATAGTTCTTGGTCTTATTACTTTTCCTTTTATATCCATGGGGAAGTGGAATAAGAATCTTTCCCTCCGTAAGCCATGCGTGTTGTAAAAGTCGGCTAAAATGCCAGGAACAATGGGCTAGTAACCCCTTTTCCTTTAAAGATTACTAAAAAGAATAAAGAATAAAATATTTTGATATAATAATTTTCAGATATTCCACAAAGGGTTTGACAATGCTGTAAAAAGAACAGGCTATCCAGGCTCAGAGACCAGCATTGACTCGACCCCTGCCTGGCTTACCTTTCTCAACCCAACCTTGTTTCCCCGTGGCAAATCATCTCTGGGACACATAGGGGACAATATTGCAGTTTATCTCACACTGCTTACTGCTGCCAGTCGACCTCACCCTCAGTACCCACTCATTATTAGGGTATGTTAACTTCAGTCATTTCATTCGTGCAGTGGTACCTTGTATAATTTATTTTATTGTTTGCACCGAGTGACCTACACAGGTTTAGTTTTTTGTGGAATATAATGATGATATATATTCATTAAGAAGGTTGATAAAGCAGTTTTATGTTTATTTTATGTTTCCATAGTAAGAGGAGGAGGTATTCCAGACCCCGTCTCCAGAACTAGTGTTATTCTATTTTCAATTAATTACAGTGTGTTTGGGTTTCTTCTCTTTTTAAAGTTTTAATTATAGTAAAAACTTGTAATAAAAAAGGATGGGGAAGGAAAAGAAAAGTAGGTTAATTAAGGAAGAAAATGATGTTTATATTTTCTTCTCTGAGTCACCCTGTGTTGATGGGAAATTACCGATATGTTATTTTTTAAATACGTAACATGGTTGTGGTTATTTTGCAGGGTTTGTTGATGCGTCAGTATCTTGGTACCAAGATAATGATGACAGGTCTGCAGGATGCCCCAGGCCAGGTGTCCACTGGAGAGCCTTGTGGTGGACCTATGTGTATGAAGCACCTCTGTACACCACCTCTCATCCCTCATACTGTATATGCTGCCATTGCACAGGTATTCTGTGAATGACACGAGAATTTGGGCATATGTTAATTCAGTTTTTATAAATTTTAATAGATTTGCACTAGCTATTATAAGAACACTTTTACAATACCTTCTCAGATACTGGTAAAGTGTGTGGACTGGACACCAGCTCTTTGTCGACTTATGAGTCCAGGAGTCAAACACTCTGGCTTGTGGGATTCTCTTGACCGCACTCAGGTATGTACACACCATGTCATTTATGATCTTTGCTTTGTCATTTTAACAGTTTTGGATTGCTTTGCATACATAAAAAATAGTAGAAAAAATATATTTACCCATATATCTTAAGTCATTATGTTTTGTTCCTTCTTAGAAGAGCCCATCTCTGTGGGACTGACCACATGTACAATTTATACTAAACAGAGAATTAAAGAGGCACCTGAAAACTGATCTCAAGCAATTCTATATAGTGTGCTGGTTTGGCTATCATAAAAGTCGAGTGTTTGCTCAAAGCTTTTAACGTGAATAAAATGTGGGTAATAATGCCTTCAGCAGAGACATACGAGTGAGGGAGTGTAAGAGAAGAAACATAAAATATAAACCAGAGTGCAAAACTTCCAGAGTGCAGGCACTCAATTTCCCATCTTCAGAATTCAAGTTTGGCTAACCAGTTTCCTTCAATCCCTTCATAAAAGTTATATTGCTCATACTCTAACAGCACATCACATCCCTAAAATGACTGGTTATCATGTCTCTTCCTTTTGTCCTGTCAGCTAATGAGAATATCTTAAGCATAGAGATGCAGTGGAAATAGGAAATAAATAGATACAGTATACTGTATTTCTATTTTCTTGGATGATTGATATTGACATACAGTGTTCTGACTTTGAGATCTTATCTGGCAGGTTTGGAATATACAGCGACCACCATGGCACCATGCTCTTGTGCAGCTTGTTACGCCCAGTGTGGCAGGAGTTGTGTCAGAGGTCTGGATTTTTTTCTTTTACTGAAATAAAGCAAGTTGAAGCATTTGATTTAATTGTATTTATAAATTTAATGTCATATGGCTTACTCAAGGATTTCACACTGTAGTAACTGTAAAGATATATAGTCTCAGATTTGATAATTGAGTGGGGAACTACATTATTTTTTGTTACCACATTCTAGCTAAACTGCCTCGCGGTATTTAAAGAAAATCCTAGTGTGTTAATGACACTACTGTATGTTAATTTTATATGTGGATTTGGAAACACAATATAGTAGGGTTTTTAAAATACCTTTGAGCACATAGGTTAACGATAATGTTAAGTATCCTTGCATAATTAATGCTGCATATTCTTTATGCTATGGTGTGGTGACAGTCATTTTATTGTCTTAATGAAGGTGATTTTATTTCCCAAGAAAATACATTAGTTACAATAGAAGATTAACAGTGCATATTTTTTACAAGGAAAACCCCTTTAGTTATGGACAGCAATGATAATTCTCTTGTTTAGGGGTACTGTTTAGTGAATGTGCTTGTTTCATGTGGACAGGTTATAAGAGCAGTTCCACCACAACCTCCAGCCAAACCTGCTCATCCAAGTCAGTTGTCTGTGCGCTTGGAACATCATCTAGCAGCCTGGACTCTGCAGTTGCTGACAGGCATGGAAGGTGTTGCTGATACTGTGCCTCTGTCTGTCATATATGTCGCACATACAATCAACACCTATTTGCCACCAACTATCAAGCCTACTGGGGGTCATGTGAGATAAGTTGTTCATTGCAGTAACACAATGATGCAATTTTATTGTGAAAACTACATATTATCAATGAATAATTTTGGTTTCATAGGTGAAGTGCATTTAACTATAGTTAATAAATAAATATTTTTTCAAGTATTGCATCAATCTGAGAAGCTTTAAATCATACTTTATAAAGAATGTAACTTGCAAAATATATTACACCACTGGTATATTGGTTCACTGTGGCAGTAGATCTAACAGGAATGAGACCAGCTATCATCTGTATGCTTCAAGAGAAAAAGAAAGACTTATCAGCTTTGTGACATTTCAGGCTTGTATTTTTTTTTTTTTTTTTTTACGCTTGTCTTCCTGCATTTGTTTAATAAATCACAAAATTCCCTGAAAGTTAATATACAGTGGACCCCCGGTTTACGATATTACTTCATTCCAGAAGTATGTTCAGGTGCCAGTACTGACCGAATTTGTTCCCATAAGGAATATTGTGAATTAGATTAGTCCATTTCAGACCCCCAAACATACACATACAAACGCACTTACATAAATACACTTACATAATTGGTCGCATTGGGAGCTGATCGTAAACCGGGGGTCCACTTACTTTCTTAGAGCAAAAAAGAAACATATCCAACTTCTTTGCTAACTACAATAATTTTTCCCTTTCTGCTAGTCTCAGAAATATTTAGTATTAATTAATAACACTAGCCTACAAAGGTTTCAGTTCACATTGCTAACTAATTTTGGGACCCTGAATTCAAATCTGAACTTAGTTATTCTCTAACACACACAATTTCTGTGAAATAGAACCCCATGTTCAATATTTTCACCAAGACAGCCATCATGGAGAAGAAATATCAAGGATACATACAATCAGTTTGATAGCCAACTACTTCTGAACACAGGCACAAAAAAACTGAAAACTGGGATGTAAATATGTTTGTTTGACTGAATGGAAACTTCTTAATTTTGTTCTGCATATACTATATAAAGAATTTATGTTAAGAAAGATTAGTCTTTCATTATATATGCTTGACACTTATTTTTTTTTTTTTTTTTAACAAGTCGGCAGTCTCCCACCGAGGCAGGGTGACCCAAAAAGAAAGAAAATCCCCAAAAAGAAAATACTTTCATCATCATTCAACATTTTCACCTTACTCACACATAATCACTGTTTTTGCAGAGGTGCTCAGAACACAGCAGTTTAGAAGCATATACGTATAAAGATACACAACATATCCCTCCAAACTGCCAATATCCCAAACTCCTCCTTTAAAGTGCAGGCATTGTACTTCCCATTCCAGGACTCAAGTCCGGCTATATAAAAATAACACTTTACACTTAACATCTCTGCGTAATATAATACCTATGATTGTTAGATAATATGTATCATATGGTTCTTCAACCTTAAATAGCCAAAATATTGATCATAAGATTAAAAAAAACTTATTTGATAGACACTAAACAAGCTGAAATTTGTGATCAGTGTATCAGTATGAGCTTAAAACAACCAGTTTGGTTTCTGAACTGGATAAAAAAAGTTAAATTATGTTGGCTAGTGTAATTAATGTATTTCTTTTCTTCATTCAACAAACCGGCCGTATCCCACCGAGGCAGGGTGGCCCAAAAAGAACAACAAAAATTTCTCTTTTCAAATTTAGTAATTTATACAGGAGAAGGGGTTACTAGCCCCTTGCTCCCGACATTTTAGTCGCCTCTTACAACATGCATGACTTACGGAAGAAGAATTCTGTTCCACTTCCCCATGGAGATAAGAGGAAATAAACAAGAACAAAATCTAGAAAGAAAAAAGCAGAAAACCAGAGAGGTGTGTATGTACTATATGCTTGTACATGTATGTGTATTGTGACCTAAGTGTAAGTAGAAGTAGCAAGACATACCTGAAATCTTGCATGTGTATGAGACAGAAAAAAAAGACACCAGCAATCCTACCATCGTGTAAAACAATTTACACTCACTTGGCAGGACGGTAGTACCTCCCTGGGTGGTTGCTGTCTACCAACCTACTACCTAGAATTAATATATTTCTTTCTTTCAACACACCGGCCGTATCCCACCGAGGCTGGGTGGCCCAAAAGGAAAAACGAAAGTTTCTCCTTTTACATTTAGTAATATATACAGGAGAAGAGGTTACTATCCCCTTGCTCCCGGCATTTTAGTCGCCTCTTACAACACGCATGGCTTACAGAGGAAGAATTCTGTTCCACTTTCCCATGGAGATAAGAGGAAATAAACAAGAACAAGAACTAGAAAGAAAATAGCAGAAAACCCAGAGGGGTGTGTGTGTGTATATATATGCTTGTACATGTATGTGTAGTGTGACCTAAGTGTAAGTAGAAGTAGCAAGACGTACCTGAAATCTTGCATGTTCATGAGACAGAAACAAGGACACCAGCAATCCTACCATCATGTAAAACAATTACAGGCTTTCGTTTTACACTCGTTTGGCAGGACGGTAATACCTCCCTGGGCGGTTGCTGTCTACCAACCTACTACCTAGAATTAATGTATTTACTAAGGTTAATTCCACAGAATATCAAACACTAGTTTGAGTCATGATTTTCTTAAGTCTTCTTGTAACTTCCAAATGCTTATTATGTTATGTGAAAGTTAATAACATAAGAATATTATGGTTTCCTGTAAGAAATTCATATGGCAAATGGAATTATTTTTAAAATTGCCTAACATGTGAGGCCTTCATTACTTTGATAAATTTTTTAAGCATTGTGTACACAGTGCGTATATGCATTATTGCTGTTGTATGATTTCTTCTCCAGACTGCAAGTCCTTGATGTTGGTGAGGGGCTCTTGATTTAGGGAATTGGATCTGTGCTCCAGTTCCCCGAATTAAGCCTGAATGCCTTCCACATCCCCCCCCCCAGGCGCTGTATAATCCTCCGGGTTTAGCGCTTCCCCCTTGATTATAATAATAATAATCCAGACTGCAAGATCATTCATAATCTTCCATTGGGTATTATGTATTTAATTATTCCCTATGTTAGGATACATTCTTCCTTAACTTTTCTATTTTACTCCATCTCTATCTCTGCATAAATTGTATGTCAAAGGTATCACTAACCTGAAATATCTAGGTTATTCTAATTTTTATCTCTGTTTAGATTGTGTAGAAATTGATGTATTGTATTAAGTGTGGAAATAGATGTAGCATTTGGAGGATGGTTATATCCAAACTCCTGCAGCCTTGAAGTCAGGCAATTGAGCATCTATTACAGTGGAGTCTTGATATTCGAATGTACCGGACCTCAAATGAACTGCAGTCTGAATAATTTTGTTCAGAAAAAATTTGATTATAAAATGGTATACAATACCGACAGGTTGGTAGATAAGACACATAGGCAACTTTATTCCGAAACGTTTCGCCTACACAGTAGGCTTCTTCAGTCGATTACAGAAAGCAGGCGGGAGCAGTAGAGATGTGAAGACGATGTAATCAGTCCATCACTCTTGAAGTCGTAGAATTTGAGGTTGCCAGTCCCTCAGCCTGGAGAAGTTCAGTTCCATAGTCAGGAACTATCTGAAGATCAAGCGACAGTGTTGAGACTTAAATACTGTCTAAAGGAGAGGTACAGAGTAGTAGTAGTGAGAATGTAGCCACTGAGAGGTCATGTCCCTCTCAGATCAAACAGTTCTCACTTGAAAAAGTTGTCCAAGGTGTTTTCTCTTCTGTACCAAGATGCCATTGTGTTGCAGTGTCTGACAGAGTGATTATCATATGGTATACAATACCGAGAGGTTGGTAGATAAGACATAGGCAACATTTAGGCAGCTTGATTCCGAAACGTTTCGCCTACACAGTAGGCTTCTTCAGTCGAGTACATCTCTACTGCTCCCGCCTACTTTCTGTACTCGACTGAAGAAGCTTACTGTGTAGGCAAAACGTTTCGGAATAAAGTTGCCTAAATGTTGCCTATGTGTCTTATCTACCAACCAGAAAAAATTTATCTGGTCTTTGAATGTTTTTCTGGAGTCCAAATACACTGGCTTGTTTACAGTTTAGTTGTAAAAAACTTTACACAAAAGCCCTGTTTCAAAAGTGCTTGAAGTGATCTCTGACACTGACCTAACTCTCAGAGGCTTTTGGAAGAGTCAGTTGAACATCCTCTAGTGTGTGAGGCTGATAATTAAAGCCTGGGAAATACTGTTTCACACACAAATCTTTTCGCAGTTCAAGAACCACCTAGGAACCAGTTAAGTTCAAACACTGAGGTTCCACTGTATATAGCATGTACACTGTTGAGCACTGTTCTTATAACTCTAGATGAATGACTGCTATTTTCTTCCTGTCTACAGGTAATTACACAGATAGTGGTGAATGCCATGTATTCAGCCATCAATTCTCGTGTATCTCTAGATGAGCTGAATGATGCCCCAATCACAGATGGACAGTGGGACATGATGATTGCAGTTGGAGAACGTCTATGCTCCTTGCATGATGGCAACTATGATACACATCTGAAGCAGATGACACAGGCCTTGTTGGCACAGTTAGTACTATTTTAATCTTTAGTCAAATACACCTTGCTATCTACATAATGTTAGACACAATCTGTAGTACATAAGAAAGAGAAAGGGCCAAAGGTGGTATATACCTGGAGTATACCTGAAGGGTGTTTCAGCATCCTCACAGCCTGGTCCATGACCAGGCCTTACGGTGGATCAGAGCCTGATCAACCAGGCTGTTACTACTGGCTGCACGCACACTGACGTACAAACCACAGCTCGGGAACTGACTAGGTGCCTGTCCAGCTCCCTCTTGAAGACAGCCAGGGGTCTATTGGTAATTTTCCTTATGCTGGGAGTAATAAGTATGATTTAATTCCAGTTGAGCTTTCCCATGGCCTCACAGCAATCAAGCTTTGACATTAGATGAGCACATGACAGTGGGCTACAGTAAATAGAAACTACACAACAGTTATGCAAATTATGTAGGCATTGTATCATACATTCCTTGTAGTGAGAAAAACAAACTATTGTAAAGTCCCAACTTGTCTTACACATGGTATGATTGAAGTGTCTTTTAAATCTTTCCTATTTTACACTGCTTCTCAGCCACTAAGATGTAGGCATCTTTAAATTTAATGTACCATTTCCGAGAGCCATCTCTCTCATATACCCACTGCACTCAAAGCAAGCATCATTTTATCAGGTTTCTTATTTGCTTCAGACTTGAAGATATGGAAGATGATGGTGAAGAAGACAGTCTAGATGAATATACAGATGAAGATGTAATAGAGTGTGTATGTACTGCCTTAGCCAACACTGTTCTTTCCTCTGTTCAGGGTCAACATGCACTTGTGGTAAGACTCACTCTTCTCTCATTACTCTAATACTAGCTTTATAGCATACCTTGAAATTACCCTTCACTTCCCTTGGATTACACATGATTGCTTTGACCCTCTCTCATTTGAGTGCTCTATGGTAAATTTAATGATCATAATTTATAATATCCAGACCATCCCTTTTTTTCCTTAATCCTTGTAAAATATCTTTCTTTACTAATTTAATTAAAAATCTTCTGAGTCCTCACATACTGGGAGTTATTATTACCAAGTATATTATTATAATTTTTGCAAGAAAGCACTAAACTATCATGGGTCATATATTGGGGAGCATAGTACAGTATTCAGTTAGTCAGTCATGGACTGTACTGTATATACATAAAGCATTTGTTCGGCTAGGAATGTTTATTGTAATTTACTTTTCATTTCATGTTTAAGCAGACCTACTCCTGTTGTAGTTCTTGTGTTAATGGTTCTTTAGCAAAAAAAATAGCAGGTCTTGTGTCAGCAGTACCAGATTTTATGTCAGTCGTTCCCTATCAACAGTAGTAGGTTTTGTGTCAATGTTTTTATAAAAAAAAAAACAGTAGTATCTAGGCACCTCTTTGAAGGACACATGTTTTTGAAATAAAGTGACTGCATACTTTTACCTCCATAAGTATGCCCCACAACACTTCTTGTGTGATTACCATGCATCAGGCTCATAATATATGTTCACTATATTTTAGTCTACAGCAGTAATTTCCTGCAGTCATCTAGACACTTCAATAGTATGCTACTCTATACTCTAGGTAGTGTGGGAGTTCCTTAAGAGAAACATGGAGTGGGTACAAGAGGCTCTTGGCATTCCTGCTATCCTTCCTCTCATCTCTGATCACCCACCAGCGCAACTCATCTTTACGCCACATCCCCCCATCTATAACCCCATATACTACTACAAACGTGTAGTATATACTCGTTTGGACCAGGTCAGATGATATTGTTTAATATAGAGGATTCCAGACGAGCATAATACTTTGTAATAGTAGATTTTTATAAGTAGTACATGTATATCTATACATGTATATAGCTTCTCCTCACATAACAACAAAGTTCCGTTCCTAAGAACAAGTTGGTAAATGAGTTCGTCGCTAAGTGAGGAGCATAGTATAATGGTAGTGGGTTTGTGTCAACCATCTTTGATATTGTTTTAATGTCACATTTGCACCATTTATAACATTTCCGGTACAGTGGACCCTCGACCAGCGATGCCATCGATTAACGATAAATCTGACTAGCGATACATTTTATGCAAAAATTTTGCCTCGATTAGCGCTAAAAAACTCGACCAACACTATTCGTTCCGTCTGAGACGCGTCCACTTCTGGCCAGTGTTTACAAGCCAGCCAGCCACCACGGTCGCTTCCAAGCATACAATCGGAACATTTCATATTATCACAGCCTTTTTAGTGATTGCACCTGCAAAATAAGTCACCATGGGCCCCAAGAAAGCTTCTAGTGCCAACCCTACAGCAAAAAGGGTGAGAATTACTATGGATATGAAGAAAGAGATCATTGCTAAGTATGAAAGTGGAGTGCGTGTCTCCGAGCTGCCAGGCTGTACACAAAACCCCAATCAAACCATCGCTACTATTGTGGCCAAGAAAACGGCAATCAAGGAAGCTGTTCTTGCCAAAGGTGCAACTATGTTTTCGAAACTGAGATCGCAAGTGATAGAAAATGTTGAGAGACTGTTATTGGTATGGATAAACGAAAAAAGATAGCAGGAGATAGCATCTCTCAAGCGATTCATATGTGAAAAGGCTAGGAAGTTGCATGACGATTTAATTAGAAAAATCCCAGCAACTAGTGGTGATGTGAGTGAATTTAAGGCCAGCAAAGGTTGGTTTGAGAGATTTAAGAATCGTAGTGGCTTTACATAGTGTGATAAGGCATGGTGAGGCTGCCAGTTTGGACCAAAAAGCAGCTGAAAAATATGTGCGGGAAATTCAAGGAGTACATAGACAGTGAAGGACTGAAACCTGAACAAGTGTTTAATGGTGACACTGACAGTGTTGTGAACCACTTTAGGAAAGTCATAAGGACCGAGAGGTACAGGTAACTATGGACAGATATGTTGTGCGACAGAAGTCCAGTGACTCTGAAGCTGGTCCTAGTGGCATTAAAAGAAACAAGGGAAGTAACCCAGAAAAAGACTTGCTGCCTCAAGTGCTAATGGAAGGGGATTCCCCTTCTAAACACTAACACCTCTCCCCTCCTCCCATCCCATCAATCATCACCAGATCTTCAATAAAGGTAAGTGTCATGTAACTGTGCATGTAATCTTCATTTTGTGTGTATTAAAATTAATATTTCATGTGGTAAAATTTTTTTTTTTCAATACTTTTGGGTGTCTTGCACGGATTAATTTGATTTCCATTATTTCTTATGGGGAAAATTAACTTGACTAACGATAATTTTGACTAACGATGAGCTCTCAGGAACGGATTAATATCGCTGGTTGAGGGTCCACTATATATTTTTAAATGTTTATGCAGTAGTGTACTGTATATTAAACAGAATAGAGGAAATCAGCTCTAATATACATTATTTAGGTATGCATACTGGTCAGATAGCCCATCATAAACCCGAGTCATCGGTAAACAAATATGTCGCTAAGTGAGGAGAGGCTGTATATAGTTTCTTGGTATCTATCCACATACAGTAATTATACAACATTATTACTGGTAATGAAAGTCAAAGATTCATTAAATTATTATTTATTTTATACACAAATAACCCTCACATAGGAGAGAGGAGGAGCTTACAATGACATTTCAGTGCAACTTGGACCATTTACTAAGTCATTGTGACTTCATGAATGGACCAAGTCAAACCAAAATGTCGTCATAAGCTGCTGCTCCTCTCCTGTGTGCAGGTTATTTGTGTATTATTCCAGTCACAGTATTGTGCCTTTTTGTTCATTTAAATTATGTTAAGCAATCTTAAATATGCAGAAACTGAATGCAATACTGATACTTAGTTTTACCTGGATAAAGAGTGCAACTCAGTATGATTTTATTCTTATGCATAAATTTTACTTTCAGGAGAGTTTGATGAGTTTTAAAGGTGACTGGGACACAATATTATGGAATGACTTTGGCTTGCCAAAAGATACCATCATTGACTTGGTTAAGCAGAGGCCAGAGTTCCAGGAGGAAGCCCTTCTTACCAAGAGCCAGAAAGCATCAGTTAATAAACTGAAACCTTTTCTCAACAATACACATGATCCAAAAACAAAGAAATGAATTAAGAATTTTATACATTGAATGTGCTGGTTTTGCATGTGCATTTGATAGGAAAGAAAAAACTTCATCATCATTCAATACTTTCACCATCACTTATACATAATCACTGTCTTTGCAGAGGCCAATATCCTAAACCCCTCCTTTAAAGTGCAGGCATTGTACTTCCCATTTCCAGGACTCGAGTCCAGCTAACCAGTTTCCTTGAATTACCTCACACAATATTACCCTGCTCATACTCCAACAGCTTGTGAGGTCCCAAAAACCATTCCTCTCCATTCACTCCTATCCAACATGCTCACACACGCTTGATGGAAGTCCAAGCCCCTTGCCCACAAAGCCTCCTTTACCCCTTTCAACCTTTTTGGGGATGACCCCTACCCTGCCTTCCTTCCCCAAAAGATTTATATGCTCTCCAAGTCATTCTACTTTGTTCCATTCTCTCTAAATGACCAAACCACATCAACAGCCCCTCTTCAGCCCTCTGACTAATACTTTTAGTAACTCCACACTTCCTCCTAATTTCCACACGACAAATTCTCTGCATAATATTTACACCACACATTGCCCTTAGACACGACATCTCCAATGCCTCCAGCCGCCTCCTCACTGCAGCATTTACAACCCATGCTTCACACCCATATAAGAGTGTTGGTACACTATACTCTCGTATATTGCCTTCTTTGCCTCCATGGATAATGTTCTTTGTCTCCACAGATATCTCAGCGCACCACTCACCTTTTTTCCTTCATCAATTCTGTGGTTTACCTCATGCTTCATAAACCCATCCACTGACAAGTCAACTCCCAAATATCTGAAAACATTTACTTCTTCCATACTCCCTCTCTCCAATGTGATATCCAGTTTTTATTCATCTAAATCATTTGATACTGATATGTTTGACATTGATATGTGCATGTTACTTTTATAGTCTTGTAATATTTGTCTTGGTATCAGAGAATACCTGACAGGGAGGCAACAACGAGTCATGGTGCATGACGAGGTGTCCGAGTGGGCTAGTGTGACAAGCGGGATTCCACAGGGGTCAGTCCTAGGACCTGTGCTGTTTTTGGTATATGTGAATGACATAACAGAAGGGATAGACTCAGAAGTGTCCTTGTTTGCAGATAATGTGAAGTTATTGAGGAGAATCAAGTCAGTAGAGGATCAGGCAGGATGACAAAGAGACCTGGACAGGCTACAAGCCTGGTCTAGCAGCTAGCTCCTTGAATTTAACCCTGCCAAATGCAAAGTCATGAAGATCAGGGAAGGGCAAAGAAGACTGCAGACACAGTGTAGTCTAGGTGGCCAAAGACTGCAAACCTCACTCAAGGAAAAAAGATCTTGGGGTGAGTATAATACCGAGCACATCTCCTGAGGCGTACATCAGTCAGATAACTGCTGCAGTGTACGGGCGTCTGGCAAACCTTAGGATAGCATTCCGATACCTCAGTAAGGAATCATTCAAGACTCTATATGCCATTTACGTCAGTCCCATACTGGAGTATGCAGCACCAGTTTGGAATCCACACCTGTTCAAGCACGTCAAGAAATTAGAGAAAGTGCAAAGGTTTGCAACAAGACTAGTTCCAGAGCTAAGGGGATTGTCCTATGAAGAAAGATTAAGGGAAATTGGCCTGATGACAATGGAGGACAGGAGGGTCATGGAATGCACAGGGTGGACAAAGACAGGATGTTCCAGAGATGGGACACAGAAACAAGAGGTCACAATTGGAAGTTGAAGACTCGGATGAGTCAAAGGGATGTTAGGAAGTATTTCTTCAGTCATAGAGTTGTCAGGCAGTGGAATAGCCTAGAAAGTGACGTAGTGGAGGCGGGAACCATACGTAGTTTTAAGATGAGGTTTGATAAAGCTCATGGAGCAGGAAGAGAGAGGACCTGGTAGCAGTCAGTGAAGAGGTAGGGCCAGGAGCTATGACTCGACCCCTGCAACCGCAAATAGGTGAGTACACGTCCCTCTGGGCTTTCTTTTATTTCCTTACTCATTCTTGTTTATTTCCTCTATGAGGAAGTGGAACAGAATTCTTCCTCCGCGAGCCATGCGTGTTGTAGGAGGCTACCAAAATAATGGGAGAACGGGGCCAGTAACCCCTTCTCCTGTATATATTACTAAACTTAAAAGGAGAAACTTTCATTTTTTCTTTTGGGCCACCCTGCCTCCGTGGGATATGGCTGGTTTGTTGAAAGAAGAGCAGTAATCAGTATTATAAACATGACTTTTGCTGTCACTTGATTAATATTATAAATATTTAAGTAGGTTGGTTGGTTTTGTTTAAAGTCTGTTAACTGCATAAGGGCCAAGGTTGTGTTTTATCTATAGTAAAATGATGCTCACAATAGAAAAGTGCTAAACCCATAGGGGTCATATAGTACCTGAAGAGTGTGCTTTACATTGAAAGACATGCACCTTTCAGAATATGACTCATGAAATCGTAATGACACGATTGCAAACAAACCATACCCCGGCCGGGATTGAACCCGTGGTCAGAGTCTCAAAACTCTAGACCGTCGCGTTAGCCACTAGACCAGCTAGCCACAATAAGATTCGTCCAACTAGGTATATTTCTACACCATAGGAAGGTTAGCATAGGCACCACTGTGACCACAAATGAGCTAGAGTTCGTCACGGCCACGCTAGCTGGAGATTCGTCTGTAAAAACTTGCATTTGTGGTCACAGTGGTGCCTATGCTAACCTTCCTATGGTGTAGAAATATACCTAGTTGGACGAATCTTATTGTGGCTAGCTGGTCTAGTGGCTAACGCGACGGTCTGGAGTTTTGAGACTCTCTGACCGCGGGTTCAATCCCGGCCGGGGTATGGTTTTTTTTTCAGAATATATTCAAAATGAGATATTCCTCAGTGTAAATACTCCTACTGAATGTCAAGATGCTAACTTTATATTGTTTTGTTGTACAGTTGAACCCCCAAATTTGCAAGAAAAATGGGAGATATTGGTGAAAAATTCATTGAGAATGTTTTAACTGAAATAAAGTGATTAGTTGTTAATTTAGGAGTTTTGTGCCAAGCAGACAAGAAGAAAATGGACACTACATAAAAACTAGGGAATAATTTAAGATATTAGCAAGATGCTCTAGTGCAACATTTAGTTATTAAACTCTTATGGGTTTAGATTCGTTTGATTGTACGTGTTTAATAATAATATAATAATTGTGGAACAGCTGAGTGCTAATAAAAAAAAAAAATTTTGAGCTCAATTTGGGGGTTTGGTAAATATTTACTCCAACAGTTTGGAATAGATTTAATATTGTGTTTGTGCCATCAGATTGAAAATCTTGAATATTAAGTCCCAAACATTTACTTCCAATTATATGAATTCAGTACTTTTGAACTGTGGAAATTATTCATTGATAATTTAGTTCTAAGGTAATCTAAAAAAATTATCAAGATGTTTTTTTATTGAATAAATATTTCAGTGTTTTGTCTCAACAGACTTATTAACATCATATATGCTAGACCTAATCTTTATTTAATGTACAATGCGTAATTTAGTAGTAGATTGGTAGACAGCAACCACCCGTTAGGTAGTACACCATCCTCAAGTGAGTGAAAAGGGAGCTGTATCATTTTACATGATGGAAGATTGCTGTGCAGTTTTTCCGTCTCATTTCACATGCGATTGTCAGGTATGTCTTGCTATTACTACTATAACTTTGGTCAATAACATACATGTACAAGTAATATATATACACACCCTCTGGTTTTTTTATTTCTTTCTAGTTCTTGGTTCTTGTTTATTTCTGTTATCTCCAAGGGATGTGGAACAGAATTCTTCCTCCGAATGCTGTCGTTTGTAAGAGGCGATAAATCCGGTGTAAGGGGTATTAACCTTCCCTGTATAAATTACTAAATTTAAAATAGGAAACTTTCATTTTATTTTGGACCACCCTGCCTTGTGGGATATGGCCGGTTTGAAAAAAAAAAAAATACACCTCCTGGGTATTCTTTATTTCTTATTATTCTTGTTCGGTTTATTGCCTGTTGTCTCATGGGGAAGTGAAACAGAATTCTTGCTCCTTAAGCCATGTGTGTCATAAGAGGAGACTAAAATGCCGGGAGCAAGGGACTAGTAACCCCTTCTCCTTTATTCATTACTAAAGTTAAAAAGAGAAACTTTTACTTTTCTTTTTGGGCCACCCTGCTTTGGTGGGATACAGCCGGTTTGTTGAAAGAAGAAGACAATGCTGTATATATTTTTGGTGACCCTACCTTGTTGGTAAAAAAAAAATTGCAGTATGTACATATGTACGTATGTTATACCACTCCACTGATAACATTGTACTGGGAACACCTCTGGGCCCTTAGGTTAGATTAGCATTAAATGACCTGAAGGGGATTTAGTAGACAAATGATTTGGTGTCCACAGTACCTGGATCTTTTCACAAGGTACCTGACTGCCCTGGCTAACCTATTTCTTGAAGTGGGCAGCCTCTAATGACATCCAAAAATGAAGTGAATATTACCATCTGAAATCAACATGCAGGTAAGTATTAAATCTGTACCTGAAAGTCAGTAACCAAGGAGGTCACACAACACTTCTAGTTAGACTGAGAGTAACAGAGTTAGCAAGCCTATCAGGAAAAATGAGGACCTTAAAGCAACCAGCTTTACCAGTGACTCACTGTTGCAATCCAGAGAAGATATGCCTGGAGCATCCCAGGCATATAGCCTACCTTGGGGAACCTGGTTGAAGTTTTCAAATTATAGGTTTTTTTGATGTTGGACATGGTATTCACATCACAAACGCATCATATGAAATGAAGTCTTGAAGTGAACATATACAGTACAGAGGATGATGGGGAAAGAAAACGTATACAGCTTCAGGAAGAAACCTCCTTTTTTTTTTTTTTTTTTTGAAGTACAGTACATTTTTTTTTCTCTTCTGAAGCTGTAGTGGACCTTGCTGCACGGGCAGTGGTACATAACCTTCACGTTTCTTATAGGAGTATTCCATTCTCAGGCTATTTTCCTGTAATCTCTACCCACCTTCACAACCGTTGGCAACAACGTTGGTCTGACTTGATTCATAGTAAATTATATTCTATCACACTGTGTTTAGGATTCTGGTCTTATCAGTCCACCCAAGGAAGGTTCCTTGATACTGGCAAAGGGCTCTTGATGTAGGGAATTTAATCTGTGCTCCAGTTCCTTCAGTTAAACCTGAATACCTTCCACATCCTCCCACAGGTGCTGTATAATCCTACGGGTTTAGTGCCTCCCACTTGATTATAATAATAATGGTCTTATCAGTGACGTGTTCGGGAGACTATGCTTTTCCGTCTTTGCATCGGGCTCGCGTCTCACTCATTGGTATTTTGTGAAAAGGCGCTCGATTCCACTCTGTGAGAATTGTCATGTTTCAGTTTCAGTTTGAAATATTTTATTGGACTGTCCTGTCTAATAGAATTTAAATCAGATGTCATTAACACCCTTACTTACTTCCCTCCTTGTTGATGGCCCCACTTTTGACAAAGACTCTTTCTAACTGGCTTTTTTGACAACAACAGCTTTATTACACAAACTTTGATTATACTTCCTTTGGCACTCCTCACTGCCCTTTACTAACTCTACCTCTATTATGCTCTCTACCCTTGCTCATCTTAGATCAAGCATATTAAGCGTTTAGCACACCCTACCTGCAGTGCTGCATTACCCTTGTGGGTTTAGGGCTTAGTTTTGATTATAATCATCTGAAGCTGTGGGACCCCAATTAATGCTAGAGTGGCCATGCCCTTATATATATTTTATATAAAATAATAAAATTAATATTGTAAGTTTAGATTTTTTAACTGAATTAAAAAGAGGGGTAGACGACCCCGGGAAAATTCCTTCCCAAAGGGGTGTGGGGAAATGTAAATGTTTGAAATATGGTTTTTTGTTTAAACAGCTAAATAAAGGATATCGACCAAATTTGGTTTCTAAAGAGAAAGGTAATAATAAAATCTAGGTTTTCTTTTCAAATAGGTATTTTTCTGCAAGGGTTTGGGAAAAAAATGTAAGTTGTGGTTTAGGGGCTTGGACTTCCAGCAAGCGTGCGTGAGCGTGTTAGATAGGAGTGAATGGAGACGAAGATACTTGGGACCTGACGATCTGTTGGAGTGTGAGCAGGGTAATATTTAGTGAAGGGATTCAGGGAAACGGTTATTTCATTATAGTCGGACTTGAGTCCTGGAAATGGGAAGTACAATGCCTGCACTTTAAAGGAGGGGTTTGGGATATTGGCAGTTTGGAGGGATATGTTGTGTATCTCTATACATATATTGCTTCTAAACTGTTGTATTCTGAGCACCTCTGCAAAAGCAGTGATAATGTGTGAGTGTGGTGAAAGTGTTGAATGATGATGAAAGTATTTTCTTTTTGGGGATTTTCTTTCTTTTTTTTGGGTCACCCTGCCTCGGTGGGAGACGGCGACTTGTTGAAAAAAAAAAAATATATATATATATATATATATATATATAATATATATATAATATTATTATATATATATAATATATATTAATAATATATATATACACACACACCCTAGAAGTGCAGCAGCTGTATAACCCTTGGGCTTAGCACTTCTTTTTGATTATAATAATAATAGAAGTGCAGCACTGTATGACCCTTGTAGGTTTAGCACTTCTTTTTAACTGTAATAATAATAATAAAAAGTAGGTTGGTAGACAGCAACCACCCAGGGAAGTACTACCGTCCTGCCAGATGACTGTGAAACAAAAACCTGTAACTGTTTTGCATGATGGTTTCTTTTTCTGTCTCATAAACACGCTAGATAACAGGGATATCTTGCTACTCCTACTTACACTTTGGTCACACTTCACGGACACGCACATGCATATATATATATATATACATCTAGGTTTTTCTCCTTTTTCTAAATAGCTCTTGTTCTTCTTTATTTCTTCTATTGTCCATGGGGAAGTGGAAAAGAATCTTTCCTCCGTAAGCCATGCGTGTCGTATGAGGCGACTAAAATGCCGGGAGCAATGGGCTAGTAACCCCTTCTCCTGTAGACATTTACTAAAAAAGAGAAGAAGAAAAACTTCATAAAACTGGGATGCCTGAATGTGCGTGGATGTAGTGCGGATGACAAGAAACAGATGATTGCTGATGTTATGAATGAAAAAAGTTGATGTCCTGGCCCTAAGCGAAACAAAGCTGAAGGGGGTAGGGTAGTTTCGGTGGGGGGGAATAAATGGATTAAATCTGGAGTATCTGAGAGAGTTAGAGCAAAGGAAGGGGTAGCAGTAATGTTGAAGGATCAGTTATGGAAGGAGAAAAGAGAATATGAATGTGTAAATTCAAGAATTATGTGGATTAAAGTAAAGGTTGGATGCGAAAAGTGGGTTATGATAAGCGTGAATGCACCTGGAGAAGAGAGGAATGTAGAGGATGAGAGAGAGATTTTGGGAGATGTTAAGTGATGTATAGGAGCTTTTGAACCAAGTGAGAGAGTAATTGTGGTAGGGGACCTGAATGCTAAAGTAGGAGAAACTTTTAGAGAGGGTGTGGTAGGTAAGTTTGGGTGCCAGGTGTAAATGATAATGGGAGCCCTTGATTGAACTTTGTATAGAAAGGGGTTTAGTTATAGGTAATACATATTTTAAGAAAAAGAGGATAAATAAGTATACAAGATATGATGTAGGGCGAAATGACAGTAGTTTGTTGGATTATGTATTGGTAGATAAAGACTGTTGAGTAGACTTCAGGATGTACATGTTTATAGAGGGGCCACAGATATATCAGATCACTTTCTAGTTGTAGCTACACTGAGAGTAAAAGGTAGATGGGATACAAAGAGAATAGAAGCATCAGGGAAGAGAGAGGTGAAGGTTTATAAACTAAAAGAGGAGGCAGTTAGGGTAAGATATAAACAGTTATTGGAGGATAGATGGGCTAATGAGAGCATAGGCAATGGGGTCGAAGAGGTATGGGGTAGGTTTAAAAATGTAGTGTTAGAGTGTTCAGCAGAAGTTTGTGGTTACAGGAAAGTGAGTGTGGGAGGGAAGAGGAGCAATTGGTGGAATGATGATGTAAAGAGAGTAGTAAGGGAGAAAAAGTTAGCATATGAGAAGTTTTTACAAAGTAGAAGTGATGCAAGGAGGGAAGAGTATATGGAGAAAAAGAGAGAGGTTAAGAGAGTGGTGAAGCAATGTAAAAAGAGAGCAAATGAGAGTGGGTGAGATGTTATCAACAAATTTTGTTGAAAATAAGAAAAAGTTTTGGAGTGAGATTAACAAGTTAAGGAAGCCTAGAGAACAAATGGATTTGTCAGTTAAAAATAGGAGAGGAGAGTTATTAAATGGAGAGTTAGAGGTATTGGGAAGATGGAGGGAATATTTTGGGAAATTGTTAAATGTTGATGAAGATAGGGAAGCTGTGATTTTGTGTATAGGGCAAGGAGGAATAACATCTTGTAGGAGTGAGGAAGAGCCAGTTGTGAGTGTGGGGGAAGTTCGTGAGGCAGTAGGTAAAATGAAAGGGGGTAAGGCAGCCGGGATTGATGGGATAAAGATTGAAATGTTAAAAGCAGGTGGGGATATAGTTTTGGAGTGGTTGGTGCAATTATTTAATAAATGCATGGAAGAGGGTAAGGTACCTAGGGATTGGCAGAGAGCATGCATAGTTCCTTTGTATAAAGGCAAAGGGGACAAAAGAGAGTGCAAAAATTATAGGGGGATAAGTCTGTTGAGTATACCTGGTAAAGTGTATGGTAGAGTTATTAATGAAAGAATTAAGACGGAGAATAGGATAGCAGATGAACAAGGAGGCTTTAGGAAAGGTAAGGGGTGTGTGGACCAGGTGTTTACAGTGAAACATATAAGTGAACAGTATTTAGATAAGGCTAAAGAGGTCTTTGTGGCATTTATGGATTTGGAAAAGGTGTATGACAGGGTGGATAGGAGGGCAATGTGGCAGATGATGCAGGTGTATGGTGTAGGAGGTAGGTTACTGAAAGCAGTGAAGAGTTTTTACGAGGATAGTGAGGCTCAAGTTAGAGTATGTAGGAAAGAGGGAAATTATTTCCCAGTAAAAGTAGACCTTAGACAAGGATGTGTGATGTCACTGTGGTTGTTTAATATATTTATAGATGGGGTTGTAAGAGAAGTAAATGCGAGGGTCTTGGCAAGAGGCGTGGATTTAAAAAGATAAAGAATCACACATAAAGTGGGAGTTGTCACAGTTGCTCTTAGCTGATGACACTGTGCTCTTGGGAGATTCTGAAGAGAAGTTGCAGAGATTGGTGGATGAATTTGGTAGGGTGTGCAAAAGAAGAAAATTAAAAGTGAATACAGGAAAGAGTAAGGTTATGAGGATAACAAGAAGATTAGGTGATGAAAGATTGGATATCAGATTGGAGGGAGAGAGTATGGAGGAGGTGAATGTATTCAGATATTTGGGAGTGGACGTGTCAGCGGATGGGTCTATGAAAGATGAGGTGAATCATAGAATTGATGAGGGGAAAAGGGTGAGTGGTTTCACTTAGAGTCTGTGGAGACAAAGAACTTTGTCCTTGGAGGCAAGAGGGGAATATATGAGAGTATAGTTTTACCAACGCTCTTATATGGGTGTGAAGCATGGGTGATGAATGTTGCAGCGAGGAGAAGGCTGGAGGCAGTGGAGATGTCATGTCTGAGGGCAAAGTATGGTGTGAATATAATGCAGAGAATTCGTAGTTTGGAAGTTAGGAGGAGGTGCGGGATTACGAAAACTGTTGTCCAGAGGGCTGAGGAAGGGTTGTTGAGGTGGTTCGGACATGTAGAGAGAATGGAGCGAAACAGAGTGACTTCAAGAGTGTATCAGTCTGTAGTGGAAGGAAGGCGGGGTAGGGGTCAGCCTTGGAAAGGTTGGAGGGAGGGGGTAAAGGAGGTTTTGTGTGCGAGGGGCTTGGACTTCCAGCAGGCATGCGTGAGCGTGTTTGATAGGAGTGAATGGAGACAAATGGTTTTTAATACTTGACGTGCTGTTGGAGTGTGAGCAAAGTAACATTTATGAAGGGGTTCAGGGAAACTGGCAGGCCGGACTTGAGTCCTGGAGATGGGAAGTACAGTGCCTGCACTCTGAAGGAGGGGTGTTAATGTTGCAGTTTAAAAACTGTAGTGTAAAGCACCCTTCTGGCAAGACAGTGATGGAGTGAATGATGGTGAAAGTTTTTCATTTTTGGGCCACCCTGCCTTGGTGGGAATCGGCCAGTGTGATAATAAATATAAAAAATAATAATACCCTAGAAAGATGGTGTGGGGCTACAAAACATTCAAAAGGAAGAGGAGGAGGGTTTGTTGGGGTGGTTTGGTCATTAGGAGAGAAGGGAACAGAACAGGTTGACCAAGAGGGAGTATAACTTTGAGGTGGAAGGAAAGATTATTATTATTATTATAATAAAAAGGAAGCGCTAAGCCACAAGGGCTATACAGCGTGTGGAGCGCTGTATAGCCCTTGTGGCTTAGCGCTTCTTTTTGATTATAATAATAATAATATACAGCATGTGGAAGGAAAGAGAAGTAAGGGCTGGGGGAAAGGTGTGAGGGATTTGGTAAGTAGAAGGGGCATGATCTTCCTCTGGGGAAGAGGATTAAAGAACCCCAGTGGAAATAAGATAAGTCCCTGATGATGCACTGACTACTGGGCTATCTTGGGTGGCTAACACTCTGGGTTAAATAACTGAAAAAAAAATCTTAAGTTTGTCTTTTATGCTGTATAGCCCCTCAAGGAAGGTTCCTTGATGTTGGTGAGGGGCTCTTGATTTAGGGAATTGGATCTGTGCTCCAGTTCCCCGAATTAAACCTGAATGCCTTCCACATCCCCCCTCCCAGGTGCTGTATAATCCTCCGGGTTTAGCGCTTCCCCTTGACTATAATAAGAATAATATGCTGTATAGCCCTTGTGGCTTAGCGCTTCTTTTTTATTATAATAATAATTGTCTTTTAACACAAAGTAATGCTGAGGGACTGATCACCTCAGTCACAACTACACCACTTTTATTGTGTACGAATGGTATATAATACCAACAAGATGAGATTAAGACACATCCCAGATGTTGCACATGTGTCTTAATCTCACCACTTTTATTGTTTTTTTTTTTTGTGTGTACTTCCCATGCATCTTTTGTTTACATTCCATCCCCTCAAGGGAGGTTCCTTGATGCTGGTGAGGGGCTCTTGATCTAGGGAATTGGATCTGTGCTCCAGTTCCCTAAATTAAGCCTGAATACTTTCCACAACCCCACCACAGGTGCTGCATAATCCTACAGGTTTAGCACTTCCTCCTTGCCTATAATAATAATAATAATAATGTTTACATTCCATGCATCTTTGTTAACATTCCTTGCGTCTTTGTTTACGCTCCATGCATCTTTGTTTACATTACATATATGTTTACATTCCATGCATCTTTGTTTACGTTCCATGCATTTTTGTTTATTGTAGATGAATGGTTCAGAGAACCGACATGTTGATAAACATGTTGGTTCTCTGAACCATTCATCTACAATCCTGTCAGACACTGCAACTTCTTGGAATCTTAATACTTGGGAATTCTTCGCTTGCCTAACCCTTGGGCACAACCTACTTCCACATTGAACAAATGTGACACCACCTACCTCTGCTAACCTCTCCTGCCTACGGTTTATAAGCTCCTTCGCCGCCCATATGCCGTATTCTATTCAAGATTGATGGACTTACCACATCGACTCAAGGTTGAGGGACTGATTACCTCATTCTCCTCCTGTTCTTCAAGATTCTCCTTGGTATAGACTGATGAAGCCACTGTGTGGCGAAACGTTCCTCAATAAAGATACCCAAGAGTTGCACATGTGTCTAATTTATCATCTTTGTTTACGTTCCATGCATCTTTGTTTACGTTCCATGCATCTTTGTTTACATTCCATGCATCTTTGTTTACGTTCCATGCATCTTTGTTTACGTTCCATGCATCTTTGTTTACGTTCCATGCATCTTTGTTTACGTTCCATGCATCTTTGTTTACGTTCCATGCATCTTTGTTTACGTTCCATGCATCTTTGTTTACATTTCATGCATCTTTGTTTACGTTCCATGCATCTTTGTTTACGTTCCATGCATCTTTGTTTACGTTCCATGCATCTTTGTTTACATTCCATGCATCTTTGTTTACATTCCGTTTTTATATCTGTGCATTGATGGTGTATTGTAATGTTTTATATTATATTTTAATAGTATATTTAATGCTTTTAGTATATTTCAATGTTTTTATAGTGTTTCAATGTTTTTTAAGTATACTTTAATATTTTTTAGTATATTTAATGTTTTTTATAGAATAGTTTAGTGTTTTTATAATATACTTTATCTTTAATTTCTTATTGAATATTTCAATGTTTTTATAGTATATTTCATTTTTTTGTATTTATATTGTATTCAGTATAATCATTTGCAGGGTAATGCTGTCTCTGGTAATTGGGAAACAATTTTGATCCGAGGAAAGGAAGAGTAGCTCCAATCCCTGGGATCAAGAGACTTCCAGCAACATCAAGGTAACTTCTCCCTGGAATTTCTTGTGGTAAATAGAGAACACGTGCGACCTTAATGGTAAATTTTAGCCGTGTAAACACCACCAGCTGACTGACACCAGCTGAGAGGACGGTCACTCAGGTGGGACTTTTAAGTATATATTGGTACAGGTACACATAAATACACCTACAAAAATTATCATACATAATAACAGATGTGGAAATTACCCCCCCCCCCCCAAAAAAAAAAATAGGTCTGACAAAGTGACTTATTTCCAATGTTAAATTATCAATTTTATTTCAACAAAGTATGGCTTACACGTAATTCAGAAAATAAGGTGTAGGTATGCTAAGTAAATTTAATTTATTTAGGCACAATCAACACCATGCCTAACCCTTCTAGGGTAGGGTAGGTGCCTGAGCCCGAGCTTACAGCTCACAAGACTGTCATTCCCATTAGCCCCCTTGGGGCGGGGATGGCAGACCAGAGGCCTAGCTTGTGGCTAGGCCTGGGGACAGTTGGTCCCAAAGATGAGGAGGTACTTGTGCCTCCTCCCATGGAGACTTCGGTCTCAGACACTCCCTAAAGAGGGAGCCAAGGCCGGGCCACCACTTGGAAAAGGCCCGGGCCGGGAGAATACCGGCGAATCTTTAATAATAATAATAATATTTAGGCACAGGTACACATAAGTATAATTATCATACATAGGTATCTACACATGTTACTATGTATGGTAATTTGTGTTTATCTGTTGGTGTGTACCTGTACCTAAATAAACTTAGTTTATACTTAAATAAACTAAGTTTATTTAGGTACAGATACACATAAGTGCAATTATCATCATTGTAACATATGTGTAAATTACCCACCACAAAAAGAAAAAAAAGATAATCAGATGTTGTATTAATGTCTTATTCATCACCTTACTGTTGCTCTAAACCATTATTATATAAACTTGTAAAGCCATTGGTTGTAAAATTATTTGTAATTTTCCTGAATAATGGTTATTATAGTTTGTTAGATTTAAATGTGATTATTACATAGGTTATTATGGCTGCAGTTGACTCATACTTCAACATGAAGAACACATTAATATCCAAAAAAATCACACAAACTCTCAGTGTATATACAATGAGATACACACATATTGCTATATATACATTGATACACTTATCTGATATACACAATATACCTCAGTGTATATTCATATTCTTCCTCAGTGTATATACACAGATATACACTTACTAGTGTAGGTGACAAGTAAAAAATCCATAATAAAGTTAAAGTATGGCTAAAGTTAAGGATTATAACAAAAATTTTTAGGTTAGGTTAGATTAAATTAGATTAGGATAGGTTAGTTTAAGTTAGATTAGATTATGTCTAACTTTCATCAGTCAGTTGCAGTATGTAGGTTCTGTGCAGTTTGTACTGGTATAATAAAACTATACTTCAGTTTCTTTGTTCTAATACTTTACCTTACCTACACTGTGCTTTTATTTTTACCTGGATATCATGAGATTCCCATTCTTCTACCCACAGTGAAGCTCCCTATTCCCACCACCCACAGTGAAGCTCCCTATTCCCACCACCCACAGTGAAGCTCCCTATTCCCACCACCCACAGTGAAGCTCCCTATTCCCACCACCCACAGTGAAGCTCCCTATTCCCACCACCCACAGTGAAGCTCCCTATTCCCACCACCCACAGATAGACCCCCACTATCATCCACCCACAATAAGAGTCATTTCATCCTCCACCCACAGTAAAGTTCATTTCATCCTCCACCCACAATAATGACCATAACCTCCACCCACAACACCACAAATATCATCCTCATCCACCCATAATAAGGTTCATATCACCCTCCACCCATTGCCTTCGATTAGAACCAATTGTTATTTTTATGTTTACCATTGATATAGTTGTTGAAAATAAAAATGAAATTTTTATGTGTTTCCAGGATGAATCGACATGGTGGTCGACAGATGCGAAAGAGCGGAAGAGGAAAAGCTCACGCTGGAAAAGGGAGTCAAGGAAGCTGTCAGCAGCAAATGGGGCGACGGGAAAGATTTGAAGCAAATGCTGATTCGGCAGCAGCGAGTTTTAGTGAGGTACTGGAAGATGAAGCTCTGCAAAAACTTGAAATTAAAGGTATCATTAAAAAAAAAAGCTATTTATGTTATTTATGTCTTCAAGAAGGCACTGGACAGGCACCTAAAGTCAGTACCTGACCAACAAGGCTGTGGTACGTACGTCAGTTTGCATGTGGCCAGCAGTAACAGCCTTGTTGATCAGACCCTGATTCCACCATGAGGCCTGGTCTCAGACCAAGCCATAGGGGCGTTGACCCCCGAAATTCTCTCCAGGTAAACCAGGTAATGTATTGGGATGAGTATCACATTATAAGCAGACACAAAATTATCATCTTTTGTTCAGTTTCTGGCCATGCTGGTGTTCAAAGCAGTGAACTCGAAGACTTCATGTGCATTCTGCAATTCAGTAACTTTCGTTCCATCTTCTGTACTGTGCTCTTATTTTTTTTAGATTTTTAGCAACATCATTATTCTGAATTGGTGACCAAGCTGTTTTAATTGAGCCTGTCCTGCAATGAACCTTCACAGCTACTGGTTGTGGGAAATTACTCCTAAAGCCTGCATATTAGTCACACCAGACTCGCATGTTCATCTTATAATCTGCAAAAATTGTCAGGTTCTGATAAGTACAATATTTTTATTAATTTATTGTCCCTCACAGAGAGTACATGCACTTCATTTTTGACCTCTTAAATACCCAGATACACAGTGAAGCTTCTAAATAATGGATTAATAGTAGGAAGGGGTGTACATTATTTATCAGTTGTCACTAGATTCTGAATTATAAAATTAATTTTTCACGATCATAACATAAACTGACAAGTTCTGAATCAACAGACTTGGTACACTGATTACAGGACACTAAGAATACAGGTATTGTAATCTGTAGCACTATAATAGTAAATTTTGTAGACAGTAAGCTGCCATGGGCAGCCTATGGCTCAAGGAACAATGAAAACAGACAGGTCCTGAATGAAAACACTGGCCCATACGAGACAGATGTTGAAATTGCTGGATTTGGTTCATTAATTTGGAAGACAACTAGGCACTATCTCTGCAGACAAAATCCAGAATTACAGACTTTTTTTCCATGTTGTCTGATGATTCCAACGTTTATCCAGCCATTTTTTTTTTTTTTTGTAATTTCCAGAATCCGTTAAATGGGGTTTTGTTAACTAGAGGTTTTACTCACCTAAATGTGGTTGCAGGGGTTGAGACACAGCTCCTGGCTGGTCTCTGACAGTCCCTCCTTAAATACAGATTCTATCTTTTGTTTTGAGAATGTGACTCTTTCTTTATGCCCTTGTGGTTCACCCTCAACACTTCTTCTTTCCTTCCTGCTGCTGTCTCACTCTTGCCATTCAACGCTAATTGATCCACATACAGAAATTATGGCTACTACACTTTTAGAGAAACATTAATGGTAATGAGGTAGTAGGTTGGTAGACAGCAACCACCCAGGGAGGTACTACCGTCCTGGCAAGTGAGTGTACAACGAAAGCCTGTATTTGTTTTACATGATGGTAGGATTGCTGGTGTCTTTTTTCTGTCTCATAAACATGCAAGATTTCAGGTACGTCTTGCTACTTCTTCTTACACTTAGGTCACACTACACATAGATGTACAAGCTTATATATATACACACTCCTCTGGCTTTTCTTCTATTTTCTTTCTAGTTCTTGTTCTTGTTTATTTCCTCTTATCTCCATGGGAAAGTGGAACAGAATTCTTCCTCCGTAAGCCATGCATGTTGTAAGAGGTGACTAAAATGCCGGGAGCAAGGGGCTAGTAACCCCTTCTCCTGTACAAATTACTAAATTTAAAAAGAAAAACTTAAGTTTTTCTTTTTGGGTCACCCTGCTTTGGTGGGATACGGCCGGTTTGTTAAAAAAAAAAAAAATTATGGTAATGTACAGTACAGTATCTGTAAATATGATATGTTTACAGATGAAAGTGATGAATGTGAGTTCAGCAATACCACCCATTTAAATAGCAAACAAGTAGAAGAAAATATAGAAGATGAAGAGGATGATGACGAGGACAACAGTGATTGTGAGGTCAGTGTTTATTATAATGTTACAAACTTTATATAATTCATTTTACTTTTAGAGAATCCCTCTTAGTATATAATACGGTAAACTTAGATTTTTACTTCTATTCAACATGTGAATCCCCCCCCCCCCCAAAAAAAAAAAAAAAAAAAAAATCAAATATTATGTTGTATAAAATATCATATGTACATGTATTTCAGATTCCAAAAGATGCTGCTGTATATTCTGAATGAAACTGATTTTGGTTCAGAATAAATTTGGGAAGGAGGGACAAGTAGAATTTGTAACATAATCAGTGACAGGGAATCTAAACATATAATTGCTCAAGATAAGATGAAGCTTATTCTGTATGGTGGAATGTACCTGGAGTTTACCTGGAGAGAGTTTCGGGGGTCAACGCCCCCGCGGCCCGGTCTGTGACCAGGCCTCCTGGTGGATCAGCGCCTGATCAACCAGGCTGTTGCTGCTGGCTGCACGCAAACCAACGTACGAGCCACAGCCCGGCTGATCAGGAACTGACTTTAGGTGCTTGTCCAGTGCCAGCTTGAAGACTGCCAGGGGTCTGTTGGTAATCCCCCTTATGTGTGCTGGGAGGCAGTTGAACAGTCTCGGGCCCCTGACACTTATTGTATGGTCTCTTAACGTGCTAGTGACACCCCTGCTTTTCATTGGGGGGATGGTGCATCGTCTGCCAAGTCTTTTGCTTTCGTAGTGAGTGATTTTCGTGTGCAAGTTCGGTACTAGTCCCTCTAGGATTTTCCAGGTGTATATAATCATGTATCTCTCCCTCCTGCGTTCCAGGGAATACAGGTTTAGAAACCTCAAGCGCTCCCAGTAATTGAGGTGTTTTATCTCCGTTATGCGCACCGATGAAAGTTCTCTGTACATTTTCTAGGTCGGCAATTTCACCTGCCTTGAAAGGTGCTGTTAGAGTGCAGCAATATTCCAGCCTAGATAGAACAAGTGACCTGAAGAGTGTCATCATGGGCTTGGCCTCCCTAGTTTTGAAGGTTCTCATTATCCATCCTGTCATTTTTCTAGCAGATGCGATTGATACAATGTTATGGTCCTTGAAGGTGAGATCCTCCGACATAATCACTCCCAGGTCTTTGACGTTGGTGTTTCGCTCTATTTTGTGGCCAGAATTTGTTTTGTACTCTGATGAAGAATTTAATTTCCTCATGTTTACCATATCTGAGTAATTGAAATTTCTCATCGTTGAACTTCATATTGTTTTCTGCAGCCCACTGAAAGATTTGGTTGATGTCCGCCTGGAGCCTTGCAGTGTCTGCAATGGAAGACACTGTCATGCAGATTCGGGTGTCATCTGCAAAGGAAGACACGGTGCTGTGGCTGACATCCTTGTCTATGTCGGATATGAGGATGAGGAACAAGATGGGAGCTAGTACTGTGCCTTGTGGAACAGAGCTTTTCACCGTAGCTGCCTCGGACTTTACTCTGTTGACGACTACTCTGTGTGTTCTGTTAGTGAGGAAATTATAGATCCATCGACCGACTTTTCCTGTTATTCCTTTAGCGCGCATTTTGTGCGCTATTACGCCATGGTCACACTTGTCGAAGGCTTTTGCAAAGTCTGTATATATTACATCTGCATTCTTTTTGTCTTCTAGTGCATTTAGGACCTTGTCGTAGTGATCCAGTAGGTATGAAGTATGGCATGCATTGTTTACCTGGAGAGAGTTCCGGGGGTCAACGCCCCCACGGCCTGGTCTGTGACCAGGCCTCATGGTGGATCAGAGCCTGATCAACCAGGCTGTTGCTGCTGGCTGCATGCAATCCAGCATACGAGCCACAGCCTGGCTGGTCAGGTACCGACTTTAGGTGCTTGTCCAGTGCCTGCTTGAAGACAGCCAGGGGTCTATTGGTAATCCCCCTTATGTATGCTGGGAGGCAGTTGAACAGTCTTGGGCCCCTGACACTTATTGTATGGTCTCTTAACGTGCTAGTGACACCCCTGCTTTTCATTGTGGGGATGTTGCATCGTCTGCCGAGTCTTTTGCTTTCGTAGTGAGTGAGGGCAGTGGTTTTAAAGAGCATAAGAGAGAGAGCATATTGATGTCATGAGGAAGGTAATCTTTTCCAAGGAGTTAGTGGGAGAATGAGCTATTGGAGCAGGAAGAGGGTGAGCTCAGGAGAAGGAGAACTCAAGGTTTTAAATTTAAGAAAATGGAAGTGAGCGCAATTTTTTCATTTAATTTCTACATTTTTTACTTTGATCTTGTCAAATGTCACTCTGCCTTCTTTCAAGAATTTTTTAAGTATGGAATCCTTTATGCCTCATCCATCTTGCATCCTCTTGTTTTCTAATGCTAAAATTCTCACTCTTTTTCTTGCCTCTTTTTTTTTTTTTTATCTCTCACATGCCTTTATCATTCAGGACTTGTTGTTCTTAGCTTTCTTTATGTTGAATCTAACTCTTCTTACCACATACCAGTGTTTGTTAAAGCTGTATCAGTATTATATACAGTGGTATCATATATGCACAGATATATTTCTAACCTTCACTTACCTTACATAAGTAAGCATTTGTACATTTCCCTGTAAGGCATATTTATGTATAAATTCTTACACACATATAAACTGTAATGCATGTATGCATATATAGCTCTTTACTACTTCATAGATATGATTATTCAGTCCAGGTACGAAATGTGTAATATAAATTACCCTGTGGCCATGTGGGACCTGCAACATTGTGACCCAAAGAAGTGCTCTGGAAGGAAACTGGCTCGTCATGCCATGGTTAAACTCCTCAGACTTGGCCAGAGATTTAGCGGGCTAGTTCTTACTCCAGTTGGAAAGAAAGTAAGATATAGTTTGTTTTCATGTCAGTCACCTGTAGTGTAAGAATTGAATATTTTTAAGCATGGTGCTCACTAAACATATGCTCTTTCAATTATTCATACAAGTGTATACTGTAATTAAATTTTTCTACATTGGAACTTTAATCTACCTTTACCTCACCTATAGTCTGTGTACCTGGCAATCTGCAACACAGATTGTCTAAAACCAATCAACTCAATAAAAAATCTGCCATTAGAATAATCAGTCTTTGTGAATAAGGACAACACCTCACATCCTTCCACAACTGAATCTTCTTAAATTCATTCTTCTTTCCTTGGATCCTGCATTTATTTCTACTTAATTACAAAATATACAATAATCAGAAAGCCCATAGGATGTACAGCATTTTAGACAATGCAGATACCTGTGTGCATAGTTTATATACGTAACATTCATTACAAATATTAACTCTCAGCTGTAACAATTCCTGGAGAGCTGCAACAGATCACACAGATTTTCCTTAGAATGTAATTCCAGGATATGAAATGTGATGTGATATAATTTGAATTGAGAATAGGTTTAAATATACATATAAAAAAATTTTTTGTCTGAAATACTGAACATAATATGGCTTTTTTAATACATTATAATGCCTACATTATCCCTTACCCATGTACATAAAATTTTTTTTTGCAAATAAATAATTTAGTTCTTAACCTGTAAACGGTCCAAGCAGATCTATGTTCACATGTGTAGTGCTACAAAAGTACATCCAAGTTTTTTTTACACATTTTCAAATATAACAAAAAAAAAAGTAGATCAAAGTTTTTTTACACATTTTCAGATGTAGAAAAACAAAAAGAAGATCTACTTTTTTTACATACTTTCAAATGTTGAAAAAACGTATATATACGTTTGGACCATTTACGGGTTAATAATGAATTACTCTACTGTAAATAGCATTCCATCCAAATGACCTAGTTTTTAGACTATTCAGTCTACTTCAGGCCCCATGGTAGTTATGTAATGAAACCTTTGCAACAGAAACTGAACAAATGAAATAACCACTAATCCACTAATTTGTCTTGTAAGTTCAGAGCAGAGTAGCAAAAAAAAGGCTTCTATCACTGATAACTTTTTGCAGTGTATCTCACCAGAGGATGCAAGTATTCTCCTGCAACATGGCATTGCTGTAGTGGATTGCTCATGGGCAAGGTTGTCAGAGACTCCCTTCAACAGGATGAAAACAGCTCATCCAAGGCTCTTGCCTTATCTTGTGGCATGTAATCCATTAACTATGGCCGGCCATGCAAGTTATCATGTGTAGAGGCTATTGCGGCCACTATGTATATTTGTGGTAAGAGTTCCTAGAATTGTTTATTTTTAACAAGTCCGCCATCTCCCTCCGAGGCAGGGTGACCCAAAAAGAAAGAAAATCCCCAAAAAGAAAATACTTTCATCATCATTCAACACTTTCACCTCACTCACACATAATCACTGTTTTTGCAGAGGTGCTCAGAACACAACAGTTTAGAAGCATATACGTATAAAGATACACAACATATCCCTCCAAACCGATAGTATCTCGAACCCCTCCTTTAGAGTGCAGGCAATGTATTTCCCATTTCCAGGACTCGAGTCCGGCTATATAAAAATAACCGGTTTCCCTGAATCCCTTCACTAAATATTACCCTACTCACACTCCAACAGATTGTCAGATCCCAAATACCATTCGTCTCCATTCACTCCTATCGAACATGCTCATGCAAGCCTGCTGGAAGTCCAAGCCCCTAGCCCACAAAACCTCCCTTACCCCTTCCAACCTTTTCGAGGACGACCCCTACCCCGCCTTCCTTCCCCTACAGATTTATACGCTCTCCATATCATTCTACTTTGATCCATTCTCTCTAAATAATTACACCCACCAAGACAGCCTGGAACAGTAGACCATCTAGACAAGACCAAGCTGCCACCCAACATGGCCACCAAGGTGAGGTTGTTTATGTAGTCACTTAATAAATTAATAATTAATGCCTAGTATGTATGTGTAGAGAGGTACAGTGACAGTTAAAAGAACATTCACTAAATATTGTTGCAGCCTCAGAAAAATGGTAATTAGTTTAAGTGCATAAATTTAAAAAAAAGTTCCTGCAAGTCGCATTCTAAATGTAGTGATAAAACTGCATGTAATACGAATACAGTGGACCCCTGGTTAACGATATTTTTTCACTCCAGAAGTATGTTCAGGTGCCAGTACTGACCGAATTTATTCCCATAAGGAATATTGTGAAGTAGATTAGTCCATTTCAGACCCCCAAACATACACGTACAAACGCACTTACATAAATACACTTACATAATTGGTCGCATTCGGAGGTGATCGTTATGCGGGGGTCCACTGTATAGTGTTTAGGAATATATATGGCTGAATCAAGTAAAGCCATCAATCTGTATTTTATATTTTCTAAACTGGTGTTAATTGATTATAAGATTGCTAAGACTGTCATATGAACTAACTGTTGATTATGAAACAGAACAGTAACACTCAAATGTTTTATGTTACAGGGGAAAAGAAAGGTGCCGAGTTATATTTGAGCAAGTTTAAATGGGGTAAAACTTTTATAAAAATCAATGCAGAGCTTCTGGACAAGTATAGTGCATGTAGTACCAGTACAGATGTTGTCCAGGTGCAAAATGCATACCTTGAGGAACTGAAGGAAGAATCACTGAGAATAAAAGGTGAGAAAACATTTAATATTCAGTCTCTCTTATCTCGGATTCACTTCAGCGTTCTTGCTTTTGTCTTTCTCCTAAATGATATCTTTCTACTAAATAATATCTTTTTCCTAAATGATATCTATTATTAATTTTAATTATTCTTATATATATATTTCTTTCTTTCAACACACCGGCCATATCCCACCGAGGCGGGGTGGCCCAAAAGGAAAAACAAAAGTTTCTCCTTTTACATTTAGTAATATATACAGGAGAAGGGGTTACTAGCCCCTTGCCCCCGGCATTTTAGTTGCCTCTTACAACATGCATGGCTTATGGAGAAAGAATTCTGTTCCACTTCCACTTCTTAATAATTGTTGCCTACTTAATTTTTCTTTCTGCACTTTTAAATTTTCATTGTAGTGTTGATCTGATACACGTAATCCCACTTCATTTAACTAAATTATAAAAAGCCAAAATCACGTCATCTAAATTGTCTTCTGTTGTATTACAGTACCCTCAGTCTTTTACACATATTGCATGAATTCACACAAATATTATCTCTCTCTCTTACATATACAGTACAGTAGTATATATTTAGGAATTATGGAACTGTATATTACATATTCTCCATGGGGGAACGGAACAGAATTCTTCCTCCATAAGCCATGCATGTCGTAAGAGGCGACTAAAATGCTGGGAGCAAGGGGCCAGTAACCCCTTCTCCTGTGTGCATATTAAAGTTATGAAGAGAAACTTTCATTTTTTCTTTTTGGGCCACCCTGCCTCGGTGGGATACGGCTAGTTTGTTGAAAGAATATTACATATTGTTTTGCCTTGGTGATTTAATTTCTATCTTACAACTTCTGATTCATATCACTTAATTTTAACCTGTATACCCAGTAGCTACTAACTGAGTTTCTTTTACCTGGTATGTATTTGCAGACGATATTGATTTACCACCATCAGAATCGGAGTCAGATGAAGAGGATGAGCAAGACAAAGATGAAGGTCTAAGAAACTAAGGAAGAAGGCAAGTGTAAAGATCAAGATTGCAGCTAGACAAAGGAGTGGATAAAGGAAGACAAGGTTGAAAGTCATCATTATTGATGAAGGCAATTGTAAGCATCAGAATCAAAGTGAAAGTGGTTGAGGAAGGCGAGAGTGGGAGTTCAAGTCATTAACCCTTAAACTGTCCAAACGTAGATCTACGTTGACATGTTTAGCACTCCGAACATAGATCTACATTTTTTTTACATGCTTTCAAATGGAGAAAATAAAGGTCGGAGCACTACGCACGGGAACATAGATCTACGTTTGGACAGTTTAAGGGTTAAGGAACAAGGCATGTGTAAACATATGAGTCAGAATCAATTAAGTACATGAAAAAAATGAGGATGGGAATCCAAGTCACTGGGAAGGAGGCAAGTGTTTATAAATAGGATCTTATTCCCAGCTATGGCTTGAGTTAGACGTCCATATGTGTTATGACTTGCTGTCATGTTAAAAACAAAGAAGTTCTTCAGTATTAGTACATTTTGTTGAAATTCATGTTATAAAATTTATGTAAAGTTTATGCATAAGCATGACTGCAGCATTTCTTGGTTAATAAATAAATTTTATGTTGTCTATTTTTTTACACCTTACCAATGAATCTCACTGACATTACAACTCTGATAATTCTCATTTGTACTTTAAAATAGTGAAATTACATTTAGCTTTTATTATAAATTTTGAACACAACAAAGCATATAGAAATGAATTAAAATTTATAGTTCTTCTTTAGCTCTGTATGTTTTGCTTTCTTGTGAATATAATAATACCCTTTCTTATAATGTTTTCTGAACTACCCAGGGAGGTAATTTTGTCCTATATTGTAAATGTGAAATGCAACTCTGTTAATTGTTTTACGCTGGCAGAATTGATCGTCTTTTCTTTTTGTCTGATAAACATGCAAGATGAAAGGGAAATCTTACACCTACTACTTACCCATTATATACTTCAGGAGTAAGAATGCAACTGTAAGTGTCTGTGTATTCACTGAATTTGTTTCTAAATTTCTTAACACTTTTGCCTTTGTATTGTTCTCTTCTTATTCAAAGGGTGAGTGAGTTTGAATCCTTCCTCCATAAGCAATGCGTGTTGTAGAAGGCGACAAAATTAAGTTTGTTGAGTATACCCAGTAAAGTGTATGGTAGAATAATTAATGAAAGCGGTAAGCATAGACAGAAAGTAGGATTGCAAAAAAACATAAAGGATTTGTGAAGGGTTTTTGATGTATGTATAAACCAGGTATTTACATTAGCCTCTATGCAAAAGCAAATGTCCCATCCTTGAATGATCATCATGATCCTCATTGCCTCCGCTATTTTATCTGCTCTAACGACCTTCACGATCCTTCTACATACAGGATAGTAACTAATGTTAGCAGAAGTCCATCATTTGTTCGCTGCCCCTGTTTACTCTGCTCCTTTTCTTTTTGTCTTCAGTTTCTCTTGTCTTCTCTTCAGTTGCCCCTTCTCTGTTCATCTAGCATCTGACTTTTCACTTTCCCCTTGAAAAGTTCTGACAGTTCATGTTTGTTCTTCCCCACGGCTGTGCATGAAAGCCTAAATCCCTACAGTTGCTTCTTGCTCTATTTTTCTTAATCACTTCCGATCTCAGTCTCATGCTGTTGTAGTGTACACTGATGGTTCTAAATCCTCTGATGGTGTTGGGTTTGCAGCAGTGTTCCCTGACAGTGTGGTGCAAGGTCACTTATTAGACTTGGCAAGCATTTTTACAGCTGAATTGTATGCCATTCTCATTGCAGTTATCCATATTGCATCCATGCCTACTTCAAAGTTTGTAATTGTCTCAGACTCTTCTAGTGCTTTGCAAGCTATTAAAAAATTTGATTCACCTCACCCCCTAGTTCTTCGTATACAACTTTGGTTATGCCGCATACTAGCAACATTAAAGAAATCATTTTCTGTTGGGTCCCTGGTCATGTTGATGTTCAGGGTAATGAGCAGGCAGACTCTGCTGTGGAAACTGCAGTACATGACCTACCAGTTTCATAAAGCCAGAAACCCAAAACCAAGTTTGGGTTTCTGGCCTTCTTCTTGTCATCAATACCAAGGTTGGAAGACAACACTCTCCCGTCTTCGCATCGGACACACTTGTCTAACTCATGGGTATCTCGTGGAAAGGCATCCTGTTTCATTGTGAGAATTGTCTAGTTCCTGTTTCAATTTCCCATATTCTATTGGACTGTCTTGTCTATCAACGAGCACACAGAATTTTCTCGTGATGTCACTGCTCTAATGCCCTCACTTTATTTTCTCTCCTTGCTGGCAGACCCACTTTTGACACAGACTCCCTCTTTGACTTTTTGACAGCAACTGATTTATTACACAAACTTTGATAATACTTCCGTTAGCACTCCTCACAGCCCCTCCTAACTTTACCTTTATTGTCATCTCACCCTTATTTATCCGTAGATCCACATCAATTCCTACCCTGCAGCGCTGTATGACCCTGGTAGGTTTAGTGCTTCCTTTTGATTGTAATAATAAGAATTTACATTAGATGAGATAAGATACTTTATTTCAGCATGATACAGTATTTGTAGAGAGGTGAATGACAGGGGTGTATGCAGTAAGCCCCTTAATATGCAGAGTATTTAGGGCAAACTTAAGTTTAATAAGGTAATGACAGATTGAGTTGTACTTAGTCTCTTAGGTGGTTATAAATATAAAATTAGAAGTTACAATGATTACAAGAGACTTGAATATCTTGAAGAATATAAGTGAACAATGCTTATGGAATTAGAAAAGGCACATGAAAAGGTGGCAATTGTTTCAAATGTATGAAATTGGTAGTAAACTATTTAACAAGTTGTTATGAAGATAGGCTCAGGTTGCTGTACAGAGGGGAGGAGGGAAGGGACTTCTCCAGTAAAAAGAAGCCTTAGACAGGGATGCATAATGCCACCATGGATGTTTAACATATTAGTAGATGGGGTTGTAAAAGAAGCGAATGCTAGGGTGTTGGGAAAAGGTATGGGATTAATAGATGACGAATTTGATACAAAGTGGGAGCTATCACAGTTGCTCTTTGATGATGATGATGACAGTTTTTTTGGGAGATTCTGAAGAGACGTTGCAGAGGTTGGTGAATGAATTTGAGGGGGTATGTAAAAGAAGAAAATTAAAAGCAAACATAGGAAAGAGCAAGGTGATTAGTGTAACAAAATATCTTTGTAATGAAAGATTTGATATAATGGAGGGAGTGTGGCAGAAGTAAGTATGAATATTCAGATATTTAGGAGTGAATATGTCAGCAGATGGGCCTGTGAAAGATGACGTGAGACAAGGAACTTTATTTAAGGAGGCAGAGGGGAATGTACAAGATTATAGTGTGAAGCAAGGACTTTTGATGTTGCAGTGTAAAGGATCCTGGAGGTAGAAGAGATATCACGGTTGGGAGAATTGTATAGTATGAATATTATGTCGATAATTAGGATTATGAAGATTAGAAGACGATGTGGGGTTATCAAAACTATAATTCAGATGGCTGAAGAGTTGTGAAGGTGTTTTGGGCATTGAGAGAGGATGGAGCAGAATAAGATAGCTAAGAGGGTATATAAATGAGGGGTGGAAGAAGGAAGAGTAGGGGTTGTCCCAGGAAAGAGTGGAGGGTTAAGGTTTTGAGAGTGCTAAGGGTTTGAACATCCAACAGGCTTCCGTGAGGCTTTAAATTGGAATGACATAAAGGAATTTAGGGGAAATTGGTTAGATGGACTTTAGTATTGAAGGTGAGAAATACAACGCCTGCACTCTATAGAAGGGAAGATGGGTGTTACAGTTCGGAAGGTCATCTGAACTCTTGTCATTACACTTCTGGCAAGACAGCAATTGAGGGAATGACAGTGACTGTCTCCTTTTTTTGGGTCACCTTTCCTCAGTGGGATACGTCTGATGTGTTTATTCACCTAGTTGTGGTTGCATGGGTCGAGTCATAGCTCCTGGCCCCTGTGTGTGTGTGTGTGTATATAATATATATATATATGAACATAAGAAAGAAGGAACACTGCAACAGGCTTACTGACCCATGCAGAGCAGTTCCATGTCCCCTCCCCCCGGATTAGCCCAATGACCCACTTAGTCTGGTCACCTCCACTCAAGGAAGGAGCACGGCACCAGACCCAGCACACAAGCTAGTCAGGTTCAACTCACACCCACCCACACCCACTCATGTGTTTATCTAACCTATTTTTAAAACTACACAACGTTTTAGCCTCAATAACTGTACTCGGGAGTTTGTTCCACTCATCCACAACTCTATTACCAAACCAGTGCTTTCCTATAGCCTTCCTGAATCTGAATTTTTCCAACTTGAAACCATTGCTGCGAGTCCTGTCTTGGCTGGAAATTTTCAGCACGCTGTTTACATCCCCTTTAGGGGTCGGCCTAGGAAAGGTTGGAGGGAGGGGGTAAAGGAGGTGTGCGAAGGGCTTGGACTTCCAGCAGGCATGCGTGAGCGTGTTTGATAGGAGTGAATGGAGACAAATGGTTTTTAATACTTGACGTGTTGTTGGAGTGTGAGCAAAGTAACATTTATGAAGGTGTTCAGGGAAACCGGCAGGCCGGACTGAGTCCTGGAGATGGGAAGTACAGTGCCTGCACTCTGAAGGAGGGGTGTTAATGTTGCAGTTTAAAAACTGTAGTGTAAAGCACCCTTCTGGCAAGACAGTGATGGAGTGAATGATGGTGAAAGTTTTTCTTTTTCAGGCCACACTGCCTTGGTGGGAATCGGCCAGTGTGTTAATAATAATAATAATTATTTATTCCTGTTTTACCTGACCAGCCGGGCTGTGGCTCATACGTTGGACTGCATGCAGCTAGCCGTAACAGCCTGGTTGATCAGGCTCTGATACACCATGAGGCCTGGTCACAGACCGGGCCGCGGGAGCGTTGACCCCCAGAACTCTCTCCAGGTAATCTCCAGGTAATACACCTCGATCATATCCCCCCTAATTCTACGCCTTTCGAGAGAGTGCAGATTCAGGGCCCTTAGTCTATCCTCATAGGGAAGATTTCTGATACATGGGATCAGCTTTGTCATCTTCCTCTGTACGTTTTCCAGAGCATTTATATCCATTCTGTAATACGGTGACCAGAACTGAGCAGCATAGTTAATGAGGCCTAACCAAAGATATATAGAGTTGAAGAACAACCTGAGGACTTCTATTATTTACACTTCTAGATATGAAGCCAAGAATTCTGTTAGCTTCATTGCGAACATTAATGCACTGTTGTCTTAGTTTTAGATTACTGCTAACCAGAACTCCTAAATCCTTTTCGCAATCAGTAGTATTAAGATTTACATTATTTAGTTTATATGTTGCATGGTTATTTAACTGTCCAACATTTAGAACTTTGCATTTGTCTATATTAAACTGCATCTGCCACTTCTCCGACTATTGCATCAGTCTATTCAAATCATCCTGGAGTGCTCGAGTGTCCACATTAAAATGAATTGGACGGCCTATTTTGGTGTCATCAGTAGATTTGCTTATGTCGCTATTTATTCCCTCATCTATGTCGTTTATGTAAATTGTGAACAACAACGGGCCTAACAC